AAATTCAAATGATTTCAACGAGATAATATAGCAAAATCAATGGAATGTCAAAATGATCTAAAAGAAAATGAAATTGGTAAAGAATGTGAACATTTTAGTAAACAAGAAATTGGTAAAAAATGAGAACTTGTTAGTGAAGTAAAAAGCGATAAATCAAAAAAAGAAATAGAAAGTGATAAAGACTGTAAACATGTTAGTGAATTATTAGATTCTATTCCAATAAATATTTATAATCCAGGACAATGGAAAAATATCGACATAAAATTAAAAATGATTTTGACTTTCCTAATGATGAAAATAATAGACATTTTTTCTATTATACACTCGAAAATTGTCAAACGTTGAAACATATGATAGAAAATGGTTAATATATTCAAAAGATTTAAATAGAGTATATTGCTCTTGTTGGAAGTTATTCAATTCAAAGCCTAGCAGGAGTTAATTAGTTAATGAAGGAACTAAAGATTGAAAAAATCTTAGTTATAAGCTCAAAACTCATGAAACAACTAATGAGCATATCAGTGACATGAATTCATGGGTTGATTTAGAAATAAGATTGTCAAAAAATAAAACTATTGATGAAAATATTCAATAACAAATTAACAAAGAAAAAGATTATTGGAAAAAAGTACTTGTAAGAATTTTAGCTGTAGTAAAAACTTGCTAAAAATAATCTAGCATTTCGTATGAAGAATGAGAAAATATATCAAGACAACAAGGGAAACCTTTAAGTTTAATTGAAATAATTGCAGAATTTGATCCAATAATGCAAGAGCATGTTCAACGAATTCAAGATGGTGAAATTCATAAGATACAAAATGAATTAATATAAATGTTAGTTTTTGAAATTAAAAGTGTAATAATTAATAAGATTAAAGAAGTAAAATATTTTTCAATAATACTTGATTGTACTCTTGATATAAGTCATCAAGAACACATGACTCTTATACTGTAATGTGTAGATATTTAAACAAGTCCAATAAAAATAGAAGAATATTTTTTAAAATTTTTGGAAGTAGATGATACCTCTGGGAAATGCCTTTTTGATGAATTTATAAATGTAATTAAAAAACTTGGACTTGATGTAAATGATGTAAAATGACAATAATATGATAATGGATCTAATATGAAAGAAAAACACCAAGGCGTGCAAAAAAGACTACTAAATATTAAATCCAATAGCGTTTTACATACCATGTGGATGTCATAATCTTAACCCCGTACTTTGTGATATAGCNATTGATGAAAATATTCAATAACAAATTAACAAAGAAAAAGATTATTGGAAAAAAGTAGTTGTAAGAATTTTAGCTGTAGTAAAAACTTGCTAAAAATAATCTGGCATTTCATATGAAGAATGAGAAAATATATCAAGACAATAAGGGAAACCTTTAAGTTTATTGAAATAATTGCAGAATTTGATCCAATAATGCAAGAGCATGTTCAACGAATTCAAGATGGTGAAATTCATAAGATACAAAATGAATTAATATAAATGTTAGTTTTTGAAATTAAAAGTGTAATAATTAATAAGATTAAAGAAGTAAAATATTTTTCAATAATACTTGATTGTACTCTTGATATAAGTCATCAAGAACACATGACTCTTATACTGTAATGTGTAGATATTTAAACAAGTCCAATAAAAATAGAAGAATATTTTTTAAAATTTTTGGAAGTAGATGATACCTCTGGGAAATGCCTTTTTGATGAATTTATAAATGTAATTAAAAAACTTGGACTTGATGTAAATGATGTAAAATGACAATAATATGATAATGGATCTAATATGAAAGAAAAACACCAAGGCGTGCAAAAAAGACTACTAAATATTAAATCCAATAGCGTTTTACATACCATGTGGATGTCATAATCTTAACCCCGTACTTTGTGATATAGCTAACTCTTGTCCTAAAACTATATATTTTTTTGGAGTATTACAACGTATATACTTATTATTTTTTTCTTCAACAAAACGATGAAAAATTTTACAAAATAATATATCCATGTTAACTGTTAAATTATTATCTCAAACGCGATGAGAAAGTTGTATCGAAAGTGTTAAAGCAATTAAGTATCAGACTCCAAAAATACAAGATGTTTTAATTCAATTAGCAAAAATTAGTGAAGATCATAAAACAAGGAGTGAAGTTNAATACTTGATTGTACTCTTGATGTAAGTCATCAAGAACACATGACTCTTATACTGTAATGTGTAGATATTTAAACAAGTCCAATAAAAATAAACACATGACTCTTATACTGTAATGTGTAGATATTTAAACAAGTCCAATAAAAATAGAAAAATATTTTTTAAAATTTTTGGAAGTAGATGATACCTCTGGGAAATGCCTTTTTGATGAACTTATAAATGTAATTAAAAAACTTGGACTTGATGTAAATGATGTAAAATGACAATAATATGATAATGGATCTAATATGAAAGGAAAACACCAAGGTGTGCAAAAAAGACTACTAGATATTAAATCCAATAGCGTTTTACATACCATGTGGATGTCATAATCTTAACCCCGTACTTTTGTGATATAGTNAAAGACTACTAAATATTAAATCCAATAGCGTTTTACATACCATGTGGATGTCATAATCTTAACCCCGTACTTTGTGATATAGCTAACTCTTGTCCTAAAACTATATATTTTTTTGGAGTATTACAACGTATATACTTATTATTTTTTTCTTCAACAAAACGATGAAAAATTTTACAAAATAATATATCCATGTTAACTGTTAAATTATTATCTCAAACGCGATGAGAAAGTTGTATCGAAAGTGTTAAAGCAATTAAATATCAGACTCCAAAAATACAAGATGTTTTAATTCAATTAGCAAAAATTAGTGAAGATCATAAAACAAGGAGTGAAGTCCCATGCTTAGCTACACATGAGATTGAAAATTTTGAATTTTTATTGGGTATGAATATTTGGTATGATATATTATTTGCACAATTAGTAAAAATTTATAATTCAAAGACATACATATTGACGTTGATATTGATCAATTAAAAAGATTTATTTCTTTTTTGGAATCATGTAGAAAAAATAGATTTTATTCTACTTTGATTTCATCAAAAGAGATTGCACTTGNGGTAAAAAATGAGAACTTGTTAGTGAAGTAAAAAGCGATAAATCAAAAAAAGAAATAGAAAGTGATAAAGACTGTAAACATGTTAGTGAATTATTAGATTCTATTCCAATAAATATTTATAATCCAGGACAATGGAAAAATATCNATCAATTAAAAAGATTTATTTCTTTTTTGGAATCATGTAGAAAAAATAGATTTTATTCTACTTTGATTTCATCAAAAGAGATTGCACTTGATATGAAAATAGAACCAGAATTTTGAGAAAAAAAACGTAAATTTTTTAGGAAAAAATAATTTGGTGAAACAATTGAGAATGTAATAACACTATCAACAGAAGAATTTTTTAGAATTGAGTATTTTTTATTTATAGTCGATCNTCTACTTTGATTTCATCAAAAGAGATTGCACTTGATATGAAAATAGAACCAGAATTTTGAGAAAAAAAACGTAAATTTTTTAGGAAAAATTAATTTGGTGATACAATTGAGAATGTAATAACACTATCAACTGAAGAATTTTTTAGAATTGAGTATTTTTTATTTATAGTCGATGTAGCTATTTCTTCGATCATAGTAGATTTGAATAATTCAAAATATATGAAAATATTTTTGGTATTTTATTTTGTTTTAAAAAATTAAAATCTTTAGATAATAATAGTTTGAAAAGTTACTGTCTTAACCTTAAAACNGTAATAACACTATCAACTGAAGAATTTTTTAGAATTGAGTATTTTTTATTTATAGTCGATGTAGCTATTTCTTCGATCATAGTAGATTTGAATAATTCAAAATATATGAAAATATTTTTGGTATTTTATTTTGTTTTAAAAAATTAAAATCTTTAGATGCTAATAGTTTGAACAGTTACTGTCTTAACCTTAAAATTTTTTTGAAGCATGACTTATTGTCTGATATTAATGGATTGAATTTATTTCAAGAATTGATTGTATTAAAAAAAGTCCTACAATTTGAAATTAACACTCTAGTTGAAACCCTAACTTGTATAAAATGTGTAAATTCTTTTTCAAATACATGTATAGGTTTTAGAATATTATTAACAATACTAGTAACAGTTACTTCGGTAGAAAGAAGTTTTTCAAGATTTAAATTAATAAAATTTTATCTCCAATCACCGATGCACAAAAAAGATTAAATGAATTAGTTATATTATCTATTGAAAAATATATATTAACAAAAATTGAATATAAAAAATTAATCAATATTTTTATATCTCAAAAAATTAAAAAAATATTTTTTTNGATTGAATTTATTTCAAGAATTGATTGTATTAAAAAAAGTCCTACAATTTGAAATTAGCACTCTAGTTGAAACCCTAACTTATATAAAATGTTTAAATTCTTTTTCAAATACATGTATAGGTTTTAGAATATTATTAACAATACTAGTAACAGTTACTTCGGTAGAAAGAAGTTTTTCAAGATTTAAATTAATAAAATTTTATCTCCAATCACCGATGCACAAAAAAGATTAAATGAATTAGTTATATTATTTATTGAAAAATATATATTAACAAAAATTGAATATAAAAAATTAATCAATATTTTTATATCTCAAAAAATTTTAAAAATATTTTTTAAAAAAATACATATTTTAATAATTATAACCTATTAATAGCCCACTTTATATTCTCGCCAGGGCGTCCAGATTTGTTAGGCCGCCGCTGTTCAAATCCCCAAGAAAACATCGCCTGAATATGCACGTCTCATGTGACCCTGCCGCATACGAAACACAGTCCTGGAACTTTCTCAAATGTTCTCTATTTCCCACCTGCTCTCTCTCTCTTTCAAACATTCATCGCTTAAATCAGGCAGAGCTTAAACAACTGCACTATATCATTGTTTACTGCCATTAAACTTAAGCAGGAAGTTAACGATGGCTGTGGAAACCGACGCTGCAACTGCTACAGAGTTGGCTCTCGCTGATACCGACATCAACTGGGACAGGTCTATATCTCTGTGTATGTATATATATATGTGTGTGTGTGTACGTACTCCTATATAAATAATATATATACTTAGATATTGCTCCAGGGACAATTGCTTTGATTTAGTTTGTTACATGCAAATGGTGTGTTCTACGGATCACATCGACTTTATTTGTTTGTTGTTCCAAAACTGTTCTGTTGTATTAGTTTGAAGTGAATCAATACATTTACGAACTTTGTCCATGATCTCCGGCTATCTCCAGCTCCAATGGTATGGTTTTATTGTTCTTCTCGTTATTATAGTTGTCGTTCTGCAAGCATTTCTTCAAAATTTTGACACTTGAATTCAAATGTTGTGAGCATTGGAACGGATTTAAAATTGTATTGGGTAAAAGCTAGCGTGACACTGATGTTCCCCAATTTCATAGTTGATGTCGAGGACAATCTGTCAAAGAGAAAACTATGTCAGAATCTACGGGTTTTTTTTTTGGGAGAGGGAAGGGGAAGGGACTTGAACGGTTGACCTCAAAGGCAAAACCTTTACACGACAAAGAGTATCATTGGATAAAGGCTCATTGGTATACAGTTGATATCACTTCAATTGCATATTTTATTAGTGGAAGAGNCAAAACCTTTACACGACAAAGAGTATCATTGGATAAAGGCTCATTGGTATACAGTTGTGTATCATTGGATAAAGGCTCATTGGTATACAGTTGATATCACTTCAATTGCATATTTTATTAGTGGAAGAACGAGAACTTTGTGTTATTGCTGACAATGTTTACCTGTGGAAATGGTGTCAATAGTTTATGGTGGCTCTGTAGGGTGGCACACTTTTCAGTTATTGAAAACAGTCTCTTCTGGAAAGCCATCAATCAACTTAGGCTTATATATCTGCTTTAGAGGGGTTTTTCAGTTTCCCCCTTTTTTGTCCTTGTAAAAGCCTTGCTTTCCTATAAAAGAAGTCGTTTCATTACCCAAAGAAAACAGGGTAGGACACCGAGCTATCACACTTATGTGCACAGGCCTATGATGATGACTAATGTAGAAATAGGCTACAAAAGTTATAGCATGGCATATGACTCTCTCTCTCTCTCTTTGGAAAAGAGCTTGCATCAGGTGTTTGACATAATGGTAAAAAATTCAACTCAATAAAGCTTTGTTCCAACATTTTTGGGCTCAGTAATGTTTGACATAATGGTGCTGTTACACAACAATCTGGGAGGGTTCAAACTTCAAAATGCTCTATCTGCTCCCAATTTCTTGGTTGATGGGCTTTAGGTCTGTTTTTCAGCGGAATGGTTGCTTGTACAAATTAGAGTCTTTTTTTTTTCTCACTTGTTTGCGCTGATTATCATTTTAGGACTCTGTGATGGTGATGGTTGTGTAAAATAATTGTTCACTAGCCTACACCTGCTAAACTTTTGACTTATTCAGTGAGGTTGGTGGCTGCAATTTGTTACCGCCCTTTTTTCTCTGTCTATATGCATCTAAATACCTTGCACATTGGATAAGAGTAGTTTTATGCTATTGAGACAGGCAGTAGAGCTGATCTTTTTTGGGTCTTAACTAGGTTGGATAAGATGAGATTTCATGTCATTGGGGCCATCCTCTTCACTGCTCAGTTGGCGTTAATTCATCCAACAGCAGTTGTGAAGACTAGAATGCAAGTTGCTAGTTCTGGACTCTCTCACATGAGTGGATTATCTGTTTTTAGACAAATTCTCAAACATGATGGTATCCCAGGCATTTTCAGAGGCTTGGGCACTTCTACCATCGGATCATTGCCTGGCAGGGTCTTGGCTTTGACATCACTTGAAGTATCAAAAGATATGATGCTGAAATGCACAGAAGGTCTGGATATGCCTGAAGCAACTCGGGTTGGCATTGCAAATGGAGTGGCAGGCATGTTGTCGAACTTAATTTCCTGTGTGTACTATGTCCCATTGGAGGTGGTAGGTAAACTAATTCTTTCCTATCTTTTGGCATTCCCAAAAAATGTTCTTTTTGCTTTCAGATATAATCTTTTAATTGTTAAACGGCGGTAATGGGATTTAAATCCTAGCATGCACTTTTTAGTATTATCTGCACATCTAGTAGAGTCGTTTTTTTTGAATGGGACAAAGCATTGCCATCACCAAAAAGCATTTGAAATTCTGAAACAGTGGATTTTGTGAATTAAGAAACTGATTTTTTGATCAACTGGTTTTTCAATTTTACCTCCTTTTTCAGAAGGGCTAGTTGTTGATAAGTAGTTTGTGCTTTGTAAAATTCAACGCAGTGGTTCTGTTGTTTATTTTAATTAGTTATTTAAGTACAAGTCAGGAAAGACTGTTCCAAGGGCAGATATCTCTGTACATGTTTAATCTTGAAAAGAACATTGCCAGCACTAAGGTCAGTTTAGCCATACTTCCCAGATAATGCTGTTGGTATTGCAGAAATGATATATTGGAGACATAATTTCATTGAATACATGTATGAGTGATTGAACACAAGATTTTTTTTTATTATTTCAAGACAAAGACTTTCTGAAAGTATTGTGGGAGCGGTGTTAGGAACATTCAATTCAAGATTATCATCCTTAAAACATACTGTTTCAGTTCACATCTATTCGTTTATCGAGAGTTCCTTGCAACTCTATGTTCAATTGTCGTTTAACTTCAAGGGCCTTCCTAATCCTTCTCCTTGTAAAAAACTTATTCTGAATTGGTTCCTAGCATTTTGAAAAAAAAAAAAATTGTATGTTCATGGAGAAAATAGGTCCACCTAGTTTAAGTTACTTCATATTAAAAATTACTATATAAATCTCTAAATCTCTAAATCCCTTGATGTCTATGAGGTTAAGGCTAATAACCATAAGCTCCCAAGAAGCGGGAGGAGGCCCGGGCTCGTAGACCAAGAGGGTTCCTAATTGTCTTTCATTCCAAGGTCTAACTTGTATGAATGTCCATACATCCCATAATGAATTCTATTTTTTAATGGGCAAGTCCTTCAGTTTCTCGAAAAAAAGGGAAATATGATCAACAATGATTAAGCATTTCCAAAAAAGTTTGGGCATTAAAAACTCAGTATTTTGAAACCTGAGTAGGCCAGCTTCAGTTTACAGGGTTTTGTAATTTGAACAATGGTTGCAGATTCATGTGAGCATAGCCATTTAGAGGCCAGTGAGTTTTGATATGAAGATTTCTAGACAATTTCCCCCGGCAACCCATCTTCCCCTTTCCTCATAAAACGATGGCTTAATTTGATTACTGGTTGGATTCGTTTCTAGAGATTGTGTTTGGTGTATTCACAGATTTGCCAGAGACTAATGGTACAAGGGCTTCCGGGGATTACATTTTGCAATGGTCCATTTGACATTGTGTGCAAGGTGGTGAAGGCTGAAGGAATCCGTGGAATGTATAGAGGCTTTGGATTGACGGCTGTGACCCAATCCCCTGCATCTGCACTTTGGTGGGGTGCCTATGGTGCTGCCCAACACATCATATGGAGGTATATCTAAATGTTTTGGCAACCTATTAGGAGAATTGACTAAAATTTCTTTCTCTATTTTCTTTAACTTGTGTCTTTAGGAGCTTGAGCTGTGCAGAGAATTTGGAAAAGAAACCATCTCATTTAGATATGGTTGCAGTTCAGGCTACGGCAGGAATGGTGGCTGGTGCCTGTTCATCAGTTGTTACTACTCCCATAGACACTGTAAAGACACGACTTCAGGTAACAAGACATATGGGATTGCCCTCTTGTTTCTCGTGTTACTACAGCTACAGCTCGAACAATCTTCAATTCTAAAATTTTAGCTAGTTTTTTAGTATGTTAATTCAGATCTGTGTACTGAATAGGTCAGAATCTAAGATCCTTTCTTTGTGATTGCGACTCTCTCTAAAATTGAAGGTTATTGATGATTATGGTGCTGGAAGGCCATCAGTAATCAGGACAGCGAAGACACTTCTTAAAGAAGATGGATGGAGAGGCTTCTATAGAGGGTTCGGACCCCGGTTCTTGAACATGTCTCTCTATGGAACTACCATGATTGTTACTTATGAATTGATAAGTAAGTAAAATTCCGAGCTGGTCTCTTTTAGAATGGGCAAATCTGAATGTTGCCAGATGAAATGACTAGCTTATTGTTTACTCAGGACGAAAATATGCCCTCCTAGTCGATATGATATTTGATTCACCAGGTAATAAGTTTTACTGATTTGTTTCTTCTTTTGTGTTTTTCTTGTGGTCAGAGAGGTTGTCTATAAAGAAAGCATGATCATTTGAATTGTAGCAAGCTGAAGGAGATTGTTGTTCTGCAATTTTGGAAATCGTAGGCAGATCTTTGTTCGTTTTCAGGGAATGCAAGAACCCCTCAGATGCCATTGAAACAACATGGTATTTTCATGAGGCATGTGAATTTTCATGGTTGTAAGAGCTTGCAAGGAGGACAATTTCATTCAATGGATTTTGATTTGACCAATTAGCGTCTTTGAGAAAATATATAAATTTTCACTTAATTTATGTTTAAATTTAACAAAATATGAATATGTATATGAATAGGTTACCGTACTAATAATTCAGTTCATATTATAATATTTTTGGTTCTTAAAGTATGTAATATTTTGACAGTTTGTGTATGAATTATTTAAATACGAATGAAATATTTTAGGGATTAAATTGATAAAATTTATATATTGAGGACTAAATTGACGAAATGTGAATATTTTATGAATTAAATTAATAAAATATACATATTTTATAGATCAAAAATGATATTAACCCTAAAATCTATTATTTTGATCTGCAAAACTAAAGGTGGGGGTTCTGAAGTTTAATCTGCATCCTGCAATAGCCAAAGGCTTAATATGAGTTTAGTTTTAATAAAAAATATTAGTGAGTAAAATATGTTAATTGTTTTGCCGTACAGAAGTTACAGAAGGAGGAAGGAGAAAAAAGAAATTCCAGACTTGGGTGCGACGTCGCATCACTATAACAAGAATGGCCCAACAAACCCAAAAAAAAAAAAAGGGGAGAATTACACCTCATTTTTTAAATATTCAACGTTTGAAATATTACACACAAACCTCTTGAGATTTATACGCGTATAACACTTATGCCCTGCTGTCAATATCTATTAATATATCTGTTTGTAAATTACTTTTAAACTTCTTAAAATTTATATACGTGTAATACTTAGACTCTTTAAGATTAAAATGTTATACATAGACTAAAAATACTCTAACAAAGATAGAATATTAAATATTTTAAATTTTACAACAAAAATTCATATTCTATTATGATAGTTATTGAAATAAAATAAAAAATAAATTTATTTTAAAAAAAAAATTATAATTAGTATAGAATTATGTTATTTATTAGAATTTAATTTGATCATTTAAACAACCAAATTAAACTAAAAATTATCACAATTAAAGGTAGAATATATTGCTTCCATTACAATTTGATCACTTATTTCAGTTTTTAGTTTTATTCTAATAAATATTATAATTGTATAATAATTTATGATTTTTTAAGAAAAATTAAAATTTTTATTTTTGATTTTATTTCAATAAATGACATAATAGAATATAAATTTTGACTGTAAAATTCATATTCTATTATGAATGACTTAAACCTCTTGCTTATTTTTTTAGTTTTATTATAATAGATAGTATAATTGTATACTAATTATGATTTTTAAGTAAAAATTAAAATTAAAATTTTAATTTTATTTCAATAAATGATATAATATAAGATGAATTTTGATTTTAAAATTTAAAATATTTAATATTCTATGTTTGATTAGAGTATTTTTGGTTTTCACATAATCTTTTAAATTTAAAGGATCTAAGTATTATATACTTATAAATTTTAAGGGATCTGAGTGTAGTTTATTAACAGATATACTAACGGACATTTGACGGCAGAGGTCGAAGTGTTATGCACGTATAAACTTTAGAGGGTTTGTACGTAATATTTCAAACGTCAAAGAATTTAAATAATTAAATGACAAATTTTAAGGGGTGTAAATATAATTATCCCAAAAAAATCCCAAAAGAAGTATAGTCTTTGTCCTGACACCTGATTGGTGAGATGACATGGATCCCTGATACTTCGTCGCCAAGAATTGTTCTGGGGTGGGGTGGACTATTTTATTCCCTCCAAATTTGAAGTATTGGCTTCCTTGATCAATTCGTGGACTGCGTTTCTTAGGAAGTCTTATATATTTGTTGACAGACCCCTTCGCTTTTCTTCCTCCAATCTGTGTACGTGTTACATCCATCCATTTCAATTTCCTGATCTCCCTCCCGACTCTCTCAGTTCGTTAGTCACTTTTCTCTCTCCACCATTTTCCATTGTTTCTGATACCGCAGCTTAGCTTACTGGAATAGTCTTAAAAAGAGTTTTTACTTTTTGGGTAAATAAATTGTTTTCAAAAGTTTACAAGGAAAGAAATAGTTTGAATTAACTTGGTTCAAACTCAGGCCCTCAACCTCTTTTCTGATATTCATCATTTCATTAGCACTCGTTGTGATGTGCGCTTTTGACTAACAAAACTGGGTTTAGATGAANTTTCAATAAATGATATAATATAAGATGAATTTTGATTTTAAAATTTAAAATATTTAATATTCTATGTTTGATTAGAGTATTTTTGGTTTTCACATAATCTTTTAAATTTAAAGGATCTAAGTATTATATACTTATAAATTTTAAGGGATCTGAGTGTAGTTTATTAACAGATATACTAACGGACATTTGACGGCAGAGGTCGAAGTGTTATGCACGTATAAACTTTAGAGGGTTTGTACGTAATATTTCAAACGTCAAAGAATTTAAATAATTAAATGACAAATTTTAAGGGGTGTAAATATAATTATCCCAAAAAAATCCCAAAAGAAGTATAGTCTTTGTCCTGACACCTGATTGGTGAGATGACATGGATCNATGGTACAAGGGCTTCCGGGGATTACATTTTGCAATGGTCCATTTGACATTGTGTGCAAGGTGGTGAAGGCTGAAGGAATCCGTGGAATGTATAGAGGCTTTGGATTGACGGCTGTGACCCAATCCCCTGCATCTGCACTTTGGTGGGGTGCCTATGGTGCTGCCCAACACATCATATGGAGGTATATCTAAATGTTTTGGCAACCTATTAGGAGAATTGACTAAAATTTCTTTCTCTATTTTCTTTAACTTGTGTCTTTAGGAGCTTGAGCTGTGCAGAGAATTTGGAAAAGAAACCATCTCATTTAGATATGGTTGCAGTTCAGGCTACGGCAGGAATGGTGGCTGGTGCCTGTTCATCAGTTGTTACTACTCCCATAGACACTGTAAAGACACGACTTCAGGTAACAAGACATATGGGATTACCCTCTTGTTTCTCGTGTTACTACAGCTACAGCTCGAACAATCTTCAATTCTAAAATTTTAGCTAGTTTTTTAGTATGTTAATTCAGATCTGTGTACTGAATAGGTCAGAATCTAAGATCCTTTCTTTGTGATTGCGACTCTCTCTAAAATTGAAGGTTATTGATGATTATGGTGCTGGAAGGCCATCAGTAATCAGGACAGCGAAGACACTTCTTAAAGAAGATGGATGGAGAGGCTTCTATAGAGGGTTCGGACCCCGGTTCTTGAACATGTCTCTCTATGGAACTACCATGATTGTTACTTATGAATTGATAAGTAAGTAAAATTCCGAGCTGGTCTCTTTTAGAATGGGCAAATCTGAATGTTGCCAGATGAAATGACTAGCTTATTGTTTACTCAGGACGAAAATATGCCCTCCTAGTCGATATGATATTTGATTCACCAGGTAATAAGTTTTACTGATTTGTTTCTTCTTTTGTGTTTTTCTTGTGGTCAGAGAGGTTGTCTATAAAGAAAGCATGATCATTTGAATTGTAGCAAGCTGAAGGAGATTGTTGTTCTGCAATTTTGGAAATCGTAGGCAGATCTTTGTTCGTTTTCAGGGAATGCAAGAACCCCTCAGATGCCATTGAAACAACATGGTATTTTCATGAGGCATGTGAATTTTCATGGTTGTAAGAGCTTGCAAGGAGGACAATTTCATTCAATGGATTTTGATTTGACCAATTAGCGTCTTTGAGAAAATATATAAATTTTCACTTAATTTATGTTTAAATTTAACAAAATATGAATATGTATATGAATAGGTTACCGTACTAATAATTCAGTTCATATTATAATATTTTTGGTTCTTAAAGTATGTAATATTTTGACAGTTTGTGTATGAATTATTTAAATACGAATGAAATATTTTAGGGATTAAATTGATAAAATTTATATATTGAGGACTAAATTGACGAAATGTGAATATTTTATGAATTAAATTAATAAAATATACATATTTTATAGATCAAAAATGATATTAACCCTAAAATCTATTATTTTGATCTGCAAAACTAAAGGTGGGGGTTCTGAAGTTTAATCTGCATCCTGCAATAGCCAAAGGCTTAATATGAGTTTAGTTTTAATAAAAAATATTAGTGAGTAAAATATGTTAGTTGTTTTGCCGTACAGAAGTTACAGAAGGAGGAAGGAGAAAAAAGAAATTCCAGAGTTGGGTGCGACGTCGCATCACTATAACAAGAATGGCCCAACAAACCCAAAAAAAAAAAAAGGGGAGAATTACACCTCATTTTTTAAATATTCAACGTTTGAAATATTACACACAAACCTCTTGAGATTTATACGCGTATAACACTTATGCCCTGCTGTCAATATCTATTAATATATCTGTTTGTAAATTACTTTTAAACTTCTTAAAATTTATATACGTGTAATACTTAGACTCTTTAAGATTAAAATGTTATACATAGACTAAAAATACTCTAACAAAGATAGAATATTAAATATTTTAAATTTTACAACAAAAATTCATATTCTATTATGATAGTTATTGAAATAAAATAAAAAATAAATTTATTTTAAAAAAAAAATTATAATTAGTATAGAATTATGTTATTTATTAGAATTTAATTTGATCATTTAAACAACCAAATTAAACTAAAAATTATCACAATTAAAGGTAGAATATATTGCTTCCATTACAATTTGATCACTTATTTCAGTTTTTAGTTTTATTCTAATAAATATTATAATTGTATAATAATTTATGATTTTTTAAGAAAAATTAAAATTTTTATTTTTGATTTTATTTCAATAAATGACATAATAGAATATAAATTTTGACTGTAAAATTCATATTCTATTATGAATGACTTAAACCTCTTGCTTATTTTTTTAGTTTTATTATAATAGATAGTATAATTGTATACTAATTATGATTTTTAAGTAAAAATTAAAATTAAAATTTTAATTTTATTTCAATAAATGATATAATATAAGATGAATTTTGATTTTAAAATTTAAAATATTTAATATTCTATGTTTGATTAGAGTATTTTTGGTTTTCACATAATCTTTTAAATTTAAAGGATCTAAGTATTATATACTTATAAATTTTAAGGGATCTGAGTGTAGTTTATTAACAGATATACTAACGGACATTTGACGGCAGAGGTCGAAGTGTTATGCACGTATAAACTTTAGAGGGTTTGTACGTAATATTTCAAACGTCAAAGAATTTAAATAATTAAATGACAAATTTTAAGGGGTGTAAATATAATTATCCCAAAAAAATCCCAAAAGAAGTATAGTCTTTGTCCTGACACCTGATTGGTGAGATGACATGGATCCCTGATACTTCGTCGCCAAGAATTGTTCTGGGGTGGGGTGGACTATTTTATTCCCTCCAAATTTGAAGTATTGGCTTCCTTGATCAATTCGTGGACTGCGTTTCTTAGGAAGTCTTATATATTTGTTGACAGACCCCTTCGCTTTTCTTCCTCCAATCTGTGTACGTGTTACATCCATCCATTTCAATTTCCTGATCTCCCTCCCGACTCTCTCAGTTCGTTAGTCACTTTTCTCTCTCCACCATTTTCCATTGTTTCTGATACCGCAGCTTAGCTTACTGGAATAGTCTTAAAAAGAGTTTTTACTTTTTGGGTAAATAAATTGTTTTCAAAAGTTTACAAGGAAAGAAATAGTTTGAATTAACTTGGTTCAAACTCAGGCCCTCAACCTCTTTTCTGATATTCATCATTTCATTAGCACTCGTTGTGATGAGCGCTTTTGACTAACAAAACTGGGTTTAGATGAAATTCAGTGGAATGCCATTAAACGTTAAGCTCACTGAAAATAGTTTTGATAAAGCTTTATTGCTTAGCGTTGTTATTAAGAGATTTGGTTGTCCTTTGTCCTAAAATTGTAGTTCTAGTTCAAGATTAGGGAAGTTTTCACTCTAATTGGACTGAATTTTGAATCTGTTCATGTCCCTTTCGTCTAGACAACTATTGTATTGTTCTCCCTCATCTCTTAATAGTTTTATGTGCTGAATAAGGGGCAGTTTTTCTCATTTTATCATAATTTGCAAATTTCTTATTTTGGGTTCTATCTATGTGGTTTGCTGTTTTTTTTTTTTTTTAAATTTCACCCGTAAGTAAACTTGTCGCTTGCTATGTGTTCAGTGATGGTAAGTTTGATTTGAATGATATGTGATCTTCACTTTGGGATTGTTGGTGTGCAGGTCTAAAGATGGGGCTGTCTTTCACCAAGCTTTTTAGTCGCCTGTTTTCTAAGAGAGAAATTCGCATTGTTATGGTTGGTCTTGATGCTGCTGGTAAAACCACAATTTTGTATAAGCTCAAGTTGGGTGAAGTTGTCACGACTATCCCTACCATCGGTATGCTGTCAAGTACTATAAAATCTATTTCCAATCATTTTCTCTAGCTCTGGACAAACACATGCATGAAGTTTTAAACCCATGTAATAGGTTATTTCTCCTTAAAGACAATGGATTATACCATTGAGGCATAGATTGGATGAAAGTATCTCATGATCCTTTCAGAAAGTTTTGGATTGTATTTGATCAATGATGTTTTGGTCATGATGGCTTAGTGTGTGGATACAACAAACTCCCCACTTCTGATATATATTTATCATGTCTACATTAACACATAAGGGCATTGTTAACACCATGAAATTTTTTTCCTCAAATTGTATGATTTAGAATCGAGTACCTTACAGAATGCACACATCCGTTACATTGTTAATTTTGTTCCTTGAATGTTTGTTGTGTAACACAAGTAACATCATCTCTATTAGGTTGACCACATTTANGTATGATTTAGAATCGAGTACCTTACAGAATGCACACATCCGTTACATTGTTAATTTGGTTCCTTGAATGTTTGTTGTGTAACACAAGTAACATCATCTCTATTAGGTTGACCACATTTTTAATTTGTGACTTTTTTTTCCTTTTTTCTTGTGTATTGAAATTACTGCAGGATTTAATGTGGAGACTGTTGAGTACAAGAACATTAACTTTACTGTATGGGATATTGGTGGTCAGGACCAGGTAAGTAATTATTTTATTTGTCAATCTTATATAATATATCCTTGTAATAAAACATCCCACTGTAGCTCATGGCTGCTGAGGTGCCAAATAATGCCTGTGTGAGAGGTTGATATCATTACAAACTTGGATCTACTATAGCTAAGTTCCTTCATTTGGGTCATCTAGTCTTAACTTGTACATGTGGCTGGGTTCTAACTGTGGAATGGTGCATGACATATAAACATGTGATATAAGCTGATACAAAGCAGGACTTCTAGAGTCACAGAATCAGACTGTCTCATCTGCAAAGCTGGGGGTGGCATATATGGGCAAATCTCGGGTGTCATGAGTCACCAACTCAAAACCAATTAGAAATGGGTGAAGTAGCCCCTCAAGTAGTATATAAACCTATCTTGGTTGTCCTAATTATTCGATGTGGGATACAAGCTCTCTTAACACTATGGGATGTGCTTTTGGATGGTCTGGTGCTGATTGTGCTCTGTATCAGCACTTAATATTATCATAAACTAGATTTATGTGGACCACCTTGGCTGTCAGTCTTCCTTGAAGTTCACAAAGTGAAGGCATCCATGTTGTGGCTCACATTTGTAGGCCTTTTGAACTTGTGTATGGATGCAGNTGACTAAATTGACGAAATGTGAATATTTTATGAATTAAATTAATAAAATATACATATTTTATAGATCAAAAATGATATTAACCCTAAAATCTATTATTTTGATCTGCAAAACTAAAGGTGGGGGTTCTGAAGTTTAATCTGCATCCTGCAATAGCCAAAGGCTTAATATGAGTTTAGTTTTAATAAAAAATATTAGTGAGTAAAATATGTTAGTTGTTTTGCCGTACAGAAGTTACAGAAGGAGGAAGGAGAAAAAAGAAATTCCAGAGTTGGGTGCGACGTCGCATCACTATAACAAGAATGGCCCAACAAACCAAAAAAAAGAAAAAGGGGAGAATTACACCTCATTTTTTAAATATTCAACGTTTGAAATATTACACACAGGCCTCTTGAGATTTATACGCGTATAACACTTATGCCCTGCCGTCAATATCTATTAATATATCTGTTTGTAAACTACTTTTAAACTTCTTAAAATTTATATACGTGTAATACTTAGACTCTTTAAGATTAAAATGTTATACATAGACTAAAAATACTCTAACAAAGATAGAATATTAAATATTTTAAATTTTACAACAAAAATTCATATTCTATTATGATAGTTATTGAAATAAAATAAAAAATAAATTTTTTTTTAAAAAAAAAAATTATAATTAGTATAGAATTATGTTATTTATTGGAATTTAATTTGATCATTTAAACAACCAAATTAAACTAAAAATTATCACAATTAAAGGTAGAATATATTGCTTCTATTACAATTTGATCACTTATTTCAGTTTTTAGTTTTATTCTAATAAATATTATAATTGTATAATAATTTATGATTTTTTAAGAAAAATTTAAATTTTTATTTTTGATTTTATTTCAATAAATGACATAATAGAATATAAATTTTGACTGTAAAATTCATATTCTATTATGAATGACTTAAACCTCTTGCTTATTTTTTTAGTTTTATTATAATAGATAGTATAATTGTATACTAATTATGATTTTTAAGTAAAAATTAAAATTTTAATTTTATTTCAATAAATGATATAATATAAGATGAATTTTGATTTTAAAATTTAAAATATTTAATATTTTATGTTTGATTAGAGTATTTTTGGTTTTCACATAATCTTTTAAATTTAAAGGATCTAAGTATTATATACTTATAAATTTTAAGGGATCTGAGTGTAGTTTATTAATAGATATACTAACGGACATTTGACGGCAGAGGTCGAAGTGTTATGCACGTATAAATTTTAGAGGGTTTGTGTGTAATATTTCGAACGTCAAGGAATTTAAATAATTAAATAACAAATTTTAAGGGGTGTAAATATGATTATTCCGAAAAAAGCCCAAAAGAAGTATAGTCTTTGTCCTGACACCTGATTGGTGAGATGACATGGATCCTGATACTTCGTCGCCAAGAATTGTTCTGGGGTGGGGTGGACTATTTTATTCCCTCCAAATTTGAAGTATTGGCTTCCTTGATCAATTCGTGGACTGCGTTTCTTAGGAAGTCTTATATATTTGTTGACAGACCCCTTCGCTTTTCTTCCTCCAATCTGTGTACGTGTTACATCCATCCATTTCAATTTCCTGATCTCCCTCCCGACTCTCTCAGTTCGTTAGTCACTTTTCTCTCTCCACCATTTTCCATTGTTTCTGATACCGCAGCTTAGCTTACTGGAATAGTCTTAAAAAGAGTTTTTACTTTTTGGGTAAATAAATTGTTTTCAAAAGTTTACAAGGAAAGAAATAGTTTGAATTAACTTGGTTCAAACTCAGGCCCTCAACCTCTTTTCTGATATTCATCATTTCATTAGCACTCGTTGTGATGAGCGCTTTTGACTAACAAAACTGGGTTTAGATGAAATTCAGTGGAATGCCATTAAACGTTAAGCTCACTGAAAATAGTTTTGATAAAGCTTTATTGCTTAGCGTTGTTATTAAGAGATTTGGTTGTCCTTTGTCCTAAAATTGTAGTTCTAGTTCAAGATTAGGGAAGTTTTCACTCTAATTGGACTGAATTTTGAATCTGTTCATGTCCCTTTCGTCTAGACAACTATTGTATTGTTCTCCCTCATCTCTTAATAGTTTTATGTGCTGAATAAGGGGCAGTTTTTCTCATTTTATCATAATTTGCAAATTTCTTATTTTGGGTTCTATCTATGTGGTTTGCTGTTTTTTTTTTTTTTTAAATTTCACCCGTAAGTAAACTTGTCGCTTGCTATGTGTTCAGTGATGGTAAGTTTGATTTGAATGATATGTGATCTTCACTTTGGGATTGTTGGTGTGCAGGTCTAAAGATGGGGCTGTCTTTCACCAAGCTTTTTAGTCGCCTGTTTTCTAAGAGAGAAATTCGCATTGTTATGGTTGGTCTTGATGCTGCTGGTAAAACCACAATTTTGTATAAGCTCAAGTTGGGTGAAGTTGTCACGACTATCCCTACCATCGGTATGCTGTCAAGTACTATAAAATCTATTTCCAATCATTTTCTCTAGCTCTGGACAAACACATGCATGAAGTTTTAAACCCATGTAATAGGTTATTTCTCCTTAAAGACAATGGATTATACCATTGAGGCATAGATTGGATGAAAGTATCTCATGATCCTTTCAGAAAGTTTTGGATTGTATTTGATCAATGATGTTTTGGTCATGATGGCTTAGTGTGTGGATACAACAAACTCCCCACTTCTGATATATATTTATCATGTCTACATTAACACATAAGGGCATTGTTAACACCATGAAATTTTTTTCCTCAAATTGTATGATTTAGAATCGAGTACCTTACAGAATGCACACATCCGTTACATTGTTAATTTTGTTCCTTGAATGTTTGTTGTGTAACACAAGTAACATCATCTCTATTAGGTTGACCACATTTATAATTTGTGACTTTTTTTTCCTTTTTTCTTGTGTATTGAAATTACTGCAGGATTTAATGTGGAGACTGTTGAGTACAAGAACATTAACTTTACTGTATGGGATATTGGTGGTCAGGACCAGGTAAGTAATTATTTTATTTGTCAATCTTATATAATATATCCTTGTAATAAAACATCCCACTGTAGCTCATGGCTGCTGAGGTGCCAAATAATGCCTGTGTGAGAAGTTGATATCATTACAAACTTGGATCTACTATAGCTAAGTTCCTTCATTTGGGTCATCTAGTCTTAACTTGTACATGTGGCTGGGTTCTAACTGTGGAATGGTGCATGACATATAAACATGTGATATAAGCTGATACAAAGCAGGACTTCTAGAGTCACAGAATCAGACTGTCTCATCTGCAAAGCTGGGGGTGGCATATATGGGCAAATCTCGGGTGTCATGAGTCACCAACTCAAAACCAATTAGAAATGGGTGAAGTAGCCCCTCAAGTAGTATATAAACCTATCTTGGTTGTCCTAATTATTCGATGTGGGATACAAGCTCTCTTAACACTATGGGATGTGCTTTTGGATGGTCTGGTGCTGATTGTGCTCTGTATCAGCACTTAATATTATCATAAACTAGATTTATGTGGACCACCTTGGCTGTCAGTCTTCCTTGAAGTTCACAAAGTGAAGGCATCCATGTTGTGGCTCACATTTGTAGGCCTTTTGAACTTGTGTATGGATGCAGCATAAATTGGCATGCAAAATGAGTTTGCATATTTCTTTGACGGGAAACTGTTGAGCACCAGCATTGCTTTTCTTGACACCACTCAACATTACTGTATACCAGATGTAACTTGACTACCTTCTCTTTTAGTCTTTCTTATGGTGCCTATTAATTGATAATGTGGTTAAAGTTGCGTGTTGTTCATTCTTCGGTTAATCAATGTAAACACACACATACAACCCCCCCCCCCCGGGGTACTTATATTGCCATGTATCAAATCTGTTTTTGAGTTGGGTTGAGAAGTATACTGAATTTATATATTTACTCAAAATATCTAGCTTTTGTTGTTTTGTATTTACTCAAAATATTTTGATTTTTGTTTGGATGTGTTTTTATTTTTTAAAATATTTTTATAATTCTCGATTTTGTTTTAAGTCGGTTCTAGATTAGTCGTTTGTGGAGGTTTTACTTCTCGAACACACAAGGGCTTATCTTTGTGGTCGATAGCAATGATCGAGATCGTGCGGGTGAGGCAAGAGATAAGCTGCACAAGTTGTTGAATGAGGTACTACCGTGTTTTGTTATTTGAACTTACCGGTTATTGTTTGTAATGTAAGGTAATCTGTAAATAAGTCAAAAAAAAGAAAGAAAAGTTCTGGTGGAGAAACTTCTTTGTAAAGTTTAAGTACCTGCATTCTGAAATATTTCATTTTGTTGACACCATCTCTTTATTTGTCTGCAGGATGAATTAAAGGATGCCGTGTTGCTTGTGTTTGCAAACAAGCAAGATCTTCCCAATGCAATGAATGCTGCTGAGATCACTGATAAGCTTGGCCTTCAGTCTCTCCGACAGCAACGCTGGTAATATGGATAGACATGCCTCCCCTTTCCTTCCCTCTTGCGCACACACACAATCTGATATTTCAGAGATCTTACAGGTATATCCAGAGCACATGTGCCACTTCTGGAGAAGGGCTATACGAGGGACTGGATTGGCTTTCAAACAACATTGTTAACAAGGTAAACTTTAGCAATGTATAAAACACTGAATGCACTTTCATAGATTTTTGTTTTAATTCAAAGAGATTATCGTTTGTCTGTATGCCAATTCATTTTATTTGGTAATTGCAGGCTTAGTGGATTGTCACGCTTGCTGGATGGGTTTTGTTTAACTCTTTGTATGGTTGCACGTTATTTGGANTAAAAAACCCCGAGGACACGTGTCTTCATCATAGGCTTTTCAGAAGAGTCCCATCAATACTCTTTCAGACTGTGGCAATAAAGCACAAAGATGGTTACTTTTGAAATTACTCTTTCNGAGTATAGATGTAATTTCCATCATTTTATTACCATTACTTTTGGTGTTTTAGATACTCTTTCAGACTGTGGCAATAAAGCACAAAGATGGTTACTTTTGAAATTACTCTTTTCTTCTTTTTTTCCCCTTCTCACATTTACTGTGCTTTTATAATATACATAGCTTTGCATATTGGATTGTCTACTCTTTCATGATTTGTACGATTAATGTTGGGTATCAAACATGAATCGGGTCATTTTATGTTTTGTATGAGGCAATCGTATGCTGCCATTGGAATTTCAGCTCTTCATTTCTTATCTGTCGGTGTAAATGTGAGATTATTTGTAAATGAGCAATTTCACCCTAAAAGAGCATGGAGTTTTCATGGACATTTTTGTGGGGCATGGAAATTTCATGTAGTTTGCAAGGCCATACAAGAGCAATTCTGTCCAGTAGATTTTGATCAATTAGCATCTTTGAGAGGGTCCAATAGTATTCCTTGTCTTTTGAAGGTTAAGGGTTCCAAGTTTTTCTTGGTCGATACAAGCGACATATTTCTTATTACCAAAAAAAAAAAATGAATGGGGCTTTGAATTTCGATCTGAATCCTCCTAGTCAAATCTTTGGTCGGAAAGTTATGGAGATACAATAGAGTAGAGTCGATATTGGGTTTAATAAAGGTCCCAAAAAGGAGTTTTCTTGCCTGATGCTCTGTTGACTTAGGAAGATGTGCTCAACATTCACTCATTCATCATCAATCCCTCCCTCGTTGATCATTGGGCGGGCAGCAATATAAATAAGTGAAATTAAAAGCAAAAAAAAAGAATGAATTATAGTTTATGCTGATTGGTGATATGGCATCCATCAATCCCTAATACTTGGTCACATGGGGATGGGGTGGTGGAATATTTTATTATTCACTTCAAATTTAAGTATCGGCCAACCAATCGTTGACTCACTGGAGTTCTTGCAAGGCCTTTATATATGTAGATCTATACCCTTTCGCTCTTCATCCTCCAATCTCTGGTGTCTTACACTGGTGGTGGTGGCGGCAGCGGTGGAGCTGGGAGTGGTCAATTTCAATTTGGTGAGTCTTACTTTTCTGTCTCCTCCATTTCATTGTCTCTGAAACCCCCTGGCTTAGGAGCTTATATATTAGTGATGATAAATTTGATTCCAATGATATGCTGCTGCCTTCACTTGGGATTGTTGGTGTGCTTAAGATGGGGCTGTGTTTCACCAAGCTTTTCGGTCGCCTGTTTTTAAAGAGAGAAATTCAGATTCTTCTGGTTGGTCTTAGCATTGCTGGTAAAACCACAATTATGTACAAGCTCAAGTCAGGTGAAGTTGGCACAACTACCCCTACCCCTACCATCGGTATGCTGTCAATTGACAATCATTTTCTATAGCTTTGTACAAATATGAAGTTGAAGTGTGTCATGTGCCTTTCACAAGACAAGTGATATCATATATGTTTAATTACTGGCAGGATTTAATGTGGAGACTGTTGAGTACAACAACATTAACTTTGTTGTATTTGATATTGGTGGTTATGACCTGGTAAGCAAATATTACTCTGTCAAACTCATAATATTCTAAGTTGTGTTTGGATGTGCTTGTACTTTTTTATAATTCTCGATATTGGTTTGACGGGTTTCAGATTAGAGGTTTGTCGAGGTTCTACTTCCCCAACACACAAGGGCTTATCTTTGTGGTCGATAGCAATGACCGAGACCGTGTGGTCGACGCCAGAGAAACTCTGCATAGGTTGTTGAGTGAGGTACTAGCTACAATGCTTTGTTACTTGAACTTACAGAATAATGGACGCAAGAGATATTTTATTTTGTTGGTACCATCTCTCTTTATTTGTCTGCAGGATGAATTAAGGGATGTTGTGTTGCTTGTGTTTGCAAACAAGCAAGATCTTCCCAATGCGATGAATGCTGGTGAGATCAGTGATAAGCTTGACCTTCATTCTCTTCGACAGCGACACTGGTAATATGGATAGACATGCCTCCTCCCCTTTGCTTCACTCCTTTTCTGCATCACACACATACATAATCTGATCTTGCAGGTATATCCAGACCACATGTGCCACTTCTGGAGAAGGGCTATATGAGGGACTGGATTGGCTTTCAAACAAAATTTCTAACAAGGTAAGCTTTAACCATGTACCCATAGTTTTTTGATCTCCTTTGTTCTGCATGTTAATTCATTTTATTTGGTAATTGCAGGCTTAGTGGGTGATCACTCTTTTTGGATTGGTTCTGTTTAACTTTGTATGGTTGCACATTGTCTGGAGTATGTATAGTCTATAGATGTAATCTCCATCATTTTATTATCATCCCTTTTGGTGTTTTAGATATTAGTTCATATTGTGGCAATAAAGCACAAAGATGATTATTTTCGAGATTACTCTTTTCTTTTCTTCTTCTTTTTTTTTTTTTAATTTTCCAGCAATTCACCAGCAACCAAACACACCGAAGTAAAGCAATAATCAACACAAATATGTGTATATATAACTGCAAATTGTGAATAAAAATTATGAATAAGTGAAACAATAAATTGAAAAAACTTTACACCTACCTGTCATATTACTTGACGATAGGACTTTAATTTACATGTCAATAACAGCAGAGCAATTAGAAACTACTACTACAAAAAAAAAAGAAAAAAAAAAGTTTAAAGGCTTAGTTCGATTATTAACCCTATCCTATCCATTAATAGGGCCTTGGGGGTCCTAATCTTCCACTGCTGCATAAAAAATTGCCACTATGCATCTATATTTTTTCTCACAATTTTTGAACCACTGATTGATAGGAAAAAGTCAAACTTGATTTTCCTTTGCTTCATCGCTCTTTTAGGTCATCATAGACCGAGTCCCAAGAGATCGTACATCCCATATTTTAAATGTTTAATTGGACAATATTTGATATGTTATTGTATATTTATTACTGTTATTTTATGGTATGATATAATTATTTTTTTGATATTTTTTCATTATTTTTAGGTCAGAGTGATCATGTTAATGTGAATATGTCATTGTTTATGTGTGAATGTGAATATGTTACCATGTATTTGGTAACATTTTTTGGGGCATTTTAGTATTTTGGTGTCAGAATGTCCTTTGGATAGTAGCTACTTTGGCTAATCAAAATAATATTTTTTATTACACTATCTATTTTAATGAACAACTTCTGCTGATTCAACCCATCGACGCCCTCTATTTTAAATAATTATTTCAACTAACTATTAATTCACAATTACACGTTACCCAAATGCAGAAACAAACAATCAAGAAAATCTATTAGAAAACCAAATTTTTACCGCAACATAACAAATTAAAGAATTTTTCTTCTAGATTTGCTATCGGCATTTGGATCCAGAGAATAATAAACCAGGTATGCAAACCACATAATCATTCTAGTTTTAGTGGGTTTGATCATGGTTTTTTGGGTGGGATTTCATGGGTTTTTCGGTGGGAATTCAATGGATTTTTGGTAGGATTTTAGTGGGTTTTTTTGGTGGAATTTCAATGGATTTTCAGTGGGGTTTTTGTGTGTTTTCCATGGGTTTTTTTGATGGAATTTCAGTGATTTTTGGTGGGTTTTAGGTGGATTTTCAGTGGTATAAATACACAGTTTTTTTTTTGTGTGTGTGTGTGAGAGAGAACTCCATACTCGGGTGGACGATGAACCTTCTGTGCGATGATGAAGACGAAATCGGGGTGCTATGGAGCTTTTGTGAGAGAGTCAGGAATTTGGGGGTGCTATGAAGAGACGAAATTGGCACAAAAATGAGCTTTTGTAGAGAGGCTAGCTAGAAAAAATGAGCTTTGTGGGAAGAATGGAGAGGGAAGAAATAGCAAGGGAAGAATGGGTTATTTATGGAAAATAGCCAGTCAAATACATTGGAATCAAATTTTGTGGAGAGGTTATCTAAAATAGTTAAGAATTTCTCTTTCTCTTAGGAGCCCAAAAGTAAAATAAAGTGTACCGAAAATCAAAAATACCCTCCAAAACACCCGCACAGAGACGAGTATTACTAGAACGGGTGAGTTGGGTTAAATTGGATTGGGTTAAAATAAATTCAATTTATTTTTTATTCACATAGTAAATGAGTTATGATGGGTTGGGTTAAATCGATTAACCCATAAAATAATTAAAATTCTTAATAGACACATTAATACATCAAAATACACACATATATTAGTAGTACACCAAAATACAAACATATACACATAGATACACCAAAATAAATACAAATTAATACATTAAAAATATATATATTAATACGTTAAAATACACACTAATACACCAAAAATATACACACATATATTAACACAAAAACTAAAGCACATTTAATCAAAAAATTACGCACAATAGGTCGAGGTCAATTGTGGGTCATGGGTCGATCTATGGGTTGTGGGTCAACCCATGGGTTATGGGTATACATTTATTTAATTTTATTACTTGTACTATTTAATAAAAAAATAATTGTTCAACCCAATGGGTATTCATTTATAATCTATATTAACCTGCTTAATTACAATGAATCATATTACCCAATTCATTTAGAATTCATATTAATTAATATAAATACCCAACCCATTTATTTATAAATGGATTTGAAACTTTAAGTATTTCTGTTACACTGCTGCTGCCGGTGGCGGTGGTGGAGACATTTTTCTGTGAATGATCAACAACAACTTCCATTGAAAAAAAAAAAAAAACAGCTGGGCGGAAATGGGATGCCAGGTCAAGAATTGAAACGCTTCAGTTGGGTGGGACGTTGTTTCACTATAACAAGAATGACCCAATAAAAAAACAGAAAGGAAAAATTACACAAATTTCTTTAAAGTTTGTGACTTAATTATTTAGACTTTTTATATTTGAAATACCGTATTATATATATACCCTCTACATATTACATGTTTTAAACTTGAGGGGGTCTATGTGTTATGAGCATATAAAGTTTAGGAGATTTTATGTAATATTTTAAATATTAGGGAGTTTAGGGGAATAATTGGCATAATTTAAAGGGTCTAGTGTAATATTTCCAATCCCCGATACTTGGTCGCCAAGAATTGTTCTGTTTCTAACAGCGGTGGATGGAGAATGGGATGGACTGGACTATTTCATTCCCTCCAAATTTAAAATATAGGCTTGCTTCATCATTTCATTTCTTGGATTGGGTTTCCTACAATGCCTTACGTATGTATATATGTAGACAGACCCCTTCGCTTTTCTTCCTCCAATCTGTTGTACTTGTTACACTGGTGGTGGTGACTGCTCCATCCATTTCAATATCCTGATCTCCCATTCCCGATTCTCTCAGACCGCCGATCACATCGTGAGTCCCTTTTCTCTCTCCTCCATTTCTTTTGTTACTGGAATAGTTTTTATTTTATTTTTTGGGTAAACGAAGAGTTTTCACAAGTTACATGGAAAAAAACATTTTGAATTTACTTGGTTCAAACTCATTCCCATGTACACTTTCGATCAAAAAACTGGGTGGTTTCGATGACATTATTCAATGCCATTAAACATTAAGCCCGCTGATAAAGCTTTGTTGCTTAGTGGTTTGTTCCATTGTTATGGAGGCACTTGCTTGTCTGTTGACCTAAAATTGTATTTCTGCTTTGCAATTAGGATATGATATGCTGGGAGGTAGAGAAGGTTTTGCTATAATTGGATTGTAAATGTGAATCTCTTCATATACTTTACATTTAATTACCTCCTGTGATTTTGCTGTTTCTCATCTTCTTCTTAATGATTTTTTTTTTGTCCTGAATAAAGTTCAGTTCTCATTTTATTTTGATTTGTTGAAGCACTACCACTGGTTCCAAATAAATTTTTTACTCTGAGCTCTTTCTAGGTGGTTTGCTGATATATTTTAAATTTCGCACGCGAGTGAATTTGTCTCCTACTATGGTCAATGATGGTAATTTTGACCCAAATGATACACGATCTTCACTTTTGGGATTGTTGGTGTGTCGGGTCTAACGATGGGGCTGTCTTTCACGAAGCTTTTTAGTCGCCTGTTTGCTAAGAAAGAAGCTCGCTTTCTTATGGTTGGTCTTGACGCTGCTGGTAAAACAACAATTTTGTATACGCTCAAGTTGGGTAAAATGTCACCACCATCCCTACCATCGGTATGCTGATAACTGTCAAATTCAATTATTTTCTTGTGATAGATTATTACTGCTTGAAGACAGTGGACAATGCCCTTGAGGCTTAGATTGGAAGACCTTATCTCATGTGCCTTTAACAAAACTTTGGACTGTATGAGATTGATGAGGTTTTGGTCATGATGGCTTTGTATGTAGATGCAAGAATCTCTGCACTTCTGAAACACATTTCTCATTTCTAAATAAACATCAAAGACATTGCAATATGCATGGAAATTTTTCCTCAGATCGTATGATTTAGAGTCAAGTACCTTACAAAATGCACACATCCATTAACATTGTTAACTTGGTTTACGAGGCAACTGAAACAATACCCTTGCATGTTTGTTGTGGGACATAAGTAACATGATCTCTTTGAGGGTAACCACAATTTTTTATTTGTGGACATTGTTTATTCTTTTTTCGATCATATGTGTTTAACTACTGGCAGGATTTAATGTGGAGACTGTTGAGTACAACAACATTTGCTTTACTGTATGGGATATTAATCGNTATAGGCTTGCTTCATCATTTCATTTCTTGGATTGGGTTTCCTACAATGCCTTACGTATGTATATATGTAGACAGACCCCTTCGCTTTTCTTCCTCCAATCTTTTGTACTTGTTACACTGGTGGTGGTGACTGCTCCATCCATTTCAATTTCCTGATCTCCCATTCCCGATTCTCTCAGACTGCCGATCACATCGTGAGTCCCTTTTCTCTTNCCAGATTATGCCAGTGTGATAAATTGATGTCATTTTAAACTTGGATATACTGTAGTCGAGTCGCTATTAGACATGTCCCTGGTTGGTTCATCTAGTTCATGGCTTATACATACATGAGAAGATGTCGCCTTCACTAACAAAATACATGTATGCGCATACATACATACATGATTGTCTGTTACTGATCGTGCTCTGTATCAGCACTCAACACTATCATAAGCTATCAAAGCCACCTTGGCTTTCAGTCTTCCTTAAAGTCACGAAGTAAAGGCATCCAAAAGTTGTGGCTCTTTTTTTGCCTTTCTCAACTTGTTCCTGAATGCGGTGTATGTTGGCATGCAAAATGAGTGTGCATATATATTCCTCTGTTGGGAAACTGGCGAGCACTTGCATTTCTAAAGTGACATTCTCTTGGCACCACTGAGCATCATCATATACCAGATTTACCTTGGCCACCATGTCTTTCTGTCTTTTTCTAGAGTTCACAAAGAAAGGCCAACAATAATGTGGTCAATATTGCGTAGTATCTATTTGACATATGCTCATGACAGTGTACTATGAAAGCTAAGCACATGTAATCAGATCATAAGCTCTATATGCTTTGGTTGCATTTTTTTAATTCCTTATGGTGTGGCGATTGATGATTTACATTTTTGCTGACATATTTGTTCATTCCTCATTTGATAAATGTACACACACACACAGCCCCGTATGTGTATTTATTTGGACATACGTTGAATCTGTTCCCAAGTTGAACTGAGAACTATACTGTACTTACGTATTTTCTAAAAATCATCTAATTTTTGTTTGTCGTATTTACTCAAAATCCTCTAATTTTTGTTTAGATATGTTTTTTTAAGGAAATAATTCTATAATTTCCAATGTTGTTTTGAGCGGTTTCCAGGGTAAACGTTTGTGGAGGTTCTACTTCAAGGACACACAAGGGCTGATCTTTGTAGTCGATAGCAACGATCGAGACCGTATGGGCAGTCCAGTGTGAATGCTTTTCAGACTTTACTACTGCCATGGATATTCCTATTCCTGCCAAGATATTACTGATGCATAACAAGCAGAGGCGTAGAACTTTACGAAAGAAAATTGTATTTTCTTGATTTTTTTGTATTTGTTGATTAGCAAGTTGTAAAGGCAGGAATGTCTGCTTGTTTCATTGATTGTAAAATTTGGTAATGGAATAAAAGTGTTGATTTGTTTCTTTAAAAAAAAAAAAAAGGGATGAGCTAAACTGGATGTTGAATGAGGTACTACAATGCTTTGTTAATTGTTACTTGAATTTGCCAAATATAGATTGTAATGGAAGGTAATCAGTAAATAAGATTCAGAAAAAAAGAAAAGGAAAGAAAATGTTGTGAGGGGGAAATTTCATTGTATAATGAGGTAACTCCATTCTGAAATATTTCATTTTGTTGGTACTATCTGTTCATTTGTCCACAGGATGAATTAATAGATGCTAAGTTGCTTGTGTTTGCAAACAAGCAAGATCTTCCCAATGCGATGACTGCTGCTGAGATCACTGATAAGCTTGGCCTTCATTCTCTCGGACAGCGATGCTGGTAAAAAATATAACCATGTCTCTCCCTCCCTCGCCTTTCCACACACACGCATCTAATACTGCTGTAAACCTAATAGGCATATCCATAACACAAGTGCCATATCTAGAGAAGGGCTATACGAGGGACTGGATTGGCTATCAAACAACATTGCTGACAAGGTAACCTTTAGCTATAATAAAACACTTAATGCTGTTGACTTGTATTTAAATAGATTCTCCTTTGTTCTGCATGCTAATTCATGTTATCTGGTAATTCCGGGCTTAGTGGGTCATCACACTTGATGGTNCGCCTTTCCACACACACGCATCTAATACTGCTGTAAACCTAATAGGCATATCCATAATACAAGTGCCATATCTCGAGAAGGGCTATACGAGGGACTGGATTGGCTATCAAACAACATTGCTGACAAGGTAAGCTTTAGCTATAATAGAACACTTAATGCTGTTGACTTGTATTTAAATAGATTCTCCTTTGTTCTGCATGCTAATTCATGTTATCTGGTAATTCCACGCTTAGTGGGTCATCACACTTGATGGATTGGTTCTGTTTAACTTTGTATGGTTGCACATAGGCTAGAGTATAGATGGAATTTCCATCATCTTATTACCATCAGTTTTGGTGTGTTCAGACATCAATTCACACTAGCAAGAAAACAAAGATTATTGCTTTTGAGATTAGTCTTTTCTTCANTTACCATCAGTTTTGGTGTGTTCAGACATCAATTCACACTAGCAAGAAAACAAAGATGATTGCTTTTGAGATTAGTCTTTTCTTCATTTTTTTTCCCTTTTCACATGTACTGTGCTTGATAATATACTTAGCTTTGCATATTGGATTTGTTTCTCCTTCATTCTTTGTATAATTCATGCTGGTGCGCTTGGGGGAATGTCAGTGAAAATAGTTGTTCCATTACATTTACATAGTTTGAATTTCATGTTTTGGTTTTGATGTCTGATGTGACTATTTCAAGCATGAACACAAATGTGGATTTCCAAATTATTTTGGACAGAGTTTTAGCAAGAAGCTTGTGAGATACCACGTTTAAGTTTTATCCACCCAAGAACCATGCGGTGCTTTTAACTGATAAGTTGAAAATGTTGTCAATGGGATGATAAAAAGATTGCCTTCTGGCCAAGGTAACATATGGTTGTAAAAAGAAAACTTAGATGGCTTGCATTTTGGATTGCAATGCTCCTTCCAATTTCTTTTGAATACCATTATTACACAAAGCCCTTGATAATAAAGCCAGGTGGTTCTCCTGAATTAGTCGTTGTATACTGTTGATAGAATAAGAGGAAGGAACAAGTTGGGGATGAGCTAACATCTACATGTATGGGAGGAGGGCTGGAGTGGATGCTTATGGGCTCTGAATTTGTATTATTAGGATGAGGTTGGGTTTTTTGGCCAGTGGTTAGATGGGATCAACAACCAAACTACAATTATTTCTAGCTTTTTGTTGAATTATGCGTTCTTTCCAATTTTATATCTTAATCTACAGTCGTCGTATTAATCTACACGTTTACATTGCAGACTGTTTTTANCCAGGTGGTTCTCCTGAATTAGTCGTTGTATACTGTTGATAGAATAAGAGGAAGGAATAAGTTGGGGATGAGCTAACATCTACATGTATGGGAGGAGGGCTGGAGTGGATGCTTTTGGGCTCTGAATTTGTATTATTAGGATGAGGGTGGGTTTTTTGGCCAGTGGTTAGATGGGATCAACAACCAAACTACAATTATTTCTAGCTTTTTGTTGAATTATGCTTTCTTTCCAATTTTATATCTTAATCTACAGTCGTCGTATTAATCTACACGTTTGCATTGCAGACTGTTTTTTACATCGCAAAAGATGCTCTATAGGTTTTCTATTGAAAGCGTGTTTTTTGGAAACACTTTTTATGTTGAAATTATGTAAGAAGTTAAAAAACTAGTAGAGAGATGTCTGCTGATATTTTTGAAGGTGATTTTCCAGAAGTCTAGTTTGCATTATACTTGATCTGTTATCAAAATTACATTTCTTCTATTGTATGTATCTTGTATGGCTATCAATATATGTGATTAGATTCAGTAATAAAATCCACCATTGAGCATATCACAATTACAAATAATTTATCTTCCATTAAGATCAGTTATATTCTGTACTCATCCCCGTATATCAATCACCCATCAAGAACATAAAGCACAGCGAGTGCAATATGGTTGAGCCAGATCAGTTTCTGACTATTGTCCGTCATTAGAGAATAGAGATGGATGAGTTGGTGGTTTGTTGAAGATTTCTTCACATTTAACTGTCATCTTCATCGCATCAGTCACCAATTTAGTCATATTCACTTGTTGTCTTTTTTGTCAGATAATCGGTAGGCACTGTTCAACTTACCCAAAACTAGTCTGTAATTATCGAGACANCTAGTTTGCATTATACTTGATCTGTTATCAAAATTACATTTCTTCTATTGTATGTATCTTGTATGGCTATCAATATATGGGATTAGATTCAGTAATAAAATCCACCATTGAGCATATCACAATTACAAATAATTTATCTTCCATTAAGATCAGTTATATTCTGTACTCATCCCCGTATATCAATCACCCATCAAGAACATAAAGCACAGCGAGTGCAATATGGTTGAGCCAGATCAGTTTCTGACTATTGTCCGTCATTAGAGAATAGAGATGGATGAGTTGGTGGTTTGTTGAAGATTTCTTCACATTTAACTGTCATCTTCATCGCATCAGTCACCAATTTAGTCATATTCACTTGTTGTTTTTTTTGTCAGATAATCGGTAGGCACTGTTCAACTTACCCAAAACTAGTCTGTAATTATCGAGACAGTATGCAAAAGTTCATTTTGCAACATGGGATCTGTTTCCTTAGGGAGGAGCTCATTAATGACATATTTGTTCACTCTGGCTTGTGCTTTTGTTGAGAGGACAGCGATGATCCCGAGCTCAATGATGCTAGTAGCTTTGGGAGTTAATATCGAGAGTACTTTTGCAGAAGTCATAGTTCATGGTTCCCCCGCATATCACAGAAACCACTAGGAAAAGGAAAAGGAAAACAGCTCCAGTAGAGGAGGAGGCGATTGTCTATTTCTCTTGGTGTTGAGCTTGAATGCAAAGTGGGAAGGACGGACCAATGGTGATGATTAGTACATCAAATTGTGAACCTATTAAATTGTCTTCAATGTTTGGAAGGGATGATTTATTTGAATCATCATGCAATATGTGTGTAAATTTGATTTGTTATATTGTTACAGAGGTTTGTCATGGCCCAGGGGACAGGAATTAGTGGTAACTGCTAAGCCATTTATTAGTTNTATTTGTTCACTCTGGCTTGTGCTTTTGTTGAGAGGACAGCGATGATCCCGAGCTCAATGATGCTAGTAGCTTTGGGAGTTACTATCGAGAGTACTTTTGCAGAATTCATAGTTCACGGTAGGCATTTATTAGTTGTATTAATCAACTTTTCTCTACCAGCTGTGTTTTACCAAAAGATGCAACTGTATTCAATGAGCCATGCTTGCTTGACTTGAATATAAGAAAAATAGTGTATTACATAATAATAATTAGCTAGTTATGAATTTTTGTGAGGTTCACTTATTAATGGATAATTACGATATGTGTTGTGTCGCTTCTAACGCGGCGGTGTAATTGTCGATGTTACACCCAATATAATATTTTTTATAACNGCCATGCTTGCTTGACTTGAATATAAGAAAAATAGTGTATTACATAATAATAATTAGTTAGTTATGAATTTTTGTGAAGTTCACTTATTAATGGATAATTACATTATGTGTTGTGTCGCTTCTAACGCGGTGTTACACCCAATATAATATTTTTTATAACAACAATAATAATAATGATATAATTTCAACTTTTAAATAAATTCACCGGATTTTGAACCCACAAATCGGTCATTTAAAATTTGTCAGTGTGATTTTGGGGGTCGTAGTCCCAGATTTGGTGTGAGAGGTGTCCAGCGATTTAACAGAATCTTCTGACACAAAAGTCAAAACCCTAACTAAAGGGACAGAGTCAAATTAGCCTAGTCTTTTCCTCCCTCCGAGTCCGGTCCGATCCGACGCAATTTCAGTGATTTAAAATTTTAAAGGCTACGATTCTACGATTCTCCTCTTCGGAGAGAGAGAGAGAGAGAGCCCTGTATTTATCATCTCAGAGATGGAGAGAGAGAGAGAGAGAGCCCTGTATTTATCATCTCAGAGATGGAANAAACCCTAACTAAAGGGACAGAGTCAAATTAGCCTAGTCTTTTCCTCCCTCCGAGTCTCCGGTCCGATCCGACGCAATTTCAGTGATTTAAAATTTTAAAGGCTACGATTCTACGATTCGACTCTTCGGAGAGAGAGAGAGAGCCCTGTATTTATTATCTCAGAGATGGAAGGAAGGAAGGAAGGAAGGTAGGAAGGGTTTGGTTAAGCTGTGCTCATGGCTTCACATCTCCACCCAATAACTTATGTCATTTTTGCGTGCAGTGATCCTCTCATACTCTTCCTTTTTTGTTACTTATTTTTCTAGTGTTAATCTGGGGATTTCACGAATGACTCAGAGCTACTGGGATTTGGTCTCCCTTCCTATAGTTTCCTTTTTATTGTACTAAGGAAAAACAAAAAAAAGTCAAGGGATTCTTAGATCACTCACGCAAAGATGATTTGAGTTACTGCTCGGTGTTGTGAAGGGCGAGCACCATGAGCTGAGTTTACAAGAAATAGAAGGGAGAAATTGTGTCCTCCTCCTAGCCCAGCCCCTAGGGATTGGATTGCAAATGGTGAGTGAGGTATGAATTAGTCTTTCGTTATTTTACTGCATAATCTAATTGAATGATATTTCATTTCTGTCAGCTTATTATTAGTTTACTGACTTTTCATATCTTGTTATCCTTCTAATTACTTGTATATTTGTTTTCCTCATCTACATTATCACCTCTTTGTGCTTCAATTATAGGGCCATATATTTGTTCTCTGCTTCTTCTTCTTCTTCTTCTTATAGTTTACATATTTAAAGCAGAAAATTCAGGTCAAAAAAAAAAAAAAAAAAAAACCCAATTCTGTCTCCGTTTGGTCTTCTATAACTTTTCCTTTGACACGTGAATATCAATGAAAACAAAATTCTCTGTTTCTGATTTTGTCTTGAATAGTGCTTGGGAAATGAAAACGGGCAGTAGCTAGCTATGCAGGGGGTGGGGCAGTTAGGTGTGAAGATGGGTAATTCAGCAGGGTAAACTTCATTGGAACTTGCATTCTCATCGTTATAATCAAATAGAACTGAAGCCTATATTAGATGCATTTACTAATTTTCTGCTCTCTGTTATGTTTGTTAATCAATTAGAACCTGAAGCCATACCTCTAGATAACATCAGGAGGGAGGGTTGGTGATATGAATTGCTTTATTGTTGAGGTATATATTTAAGAATGGTTACAGCGATTGGTTTTAGCGAGCCAACTCAACCAAATGAGACTGCTCTTTTCAATCAATTCAAATAGATGGCTCCATTTTCTCCCAAATAAAAAGGAGTGGTTCAGGGAAGTCCTCATACTAGTAGTTTTGGTATTGTGGAGAAAAAGTAATTTGTCAAAGGCATTGCCCTGCATAAAACTTTCATGTGCTTCCCGTTCTGGCTTACAGGTGTTGTGTAGCCAGATATGTGATAAAAATAGGTATGTAGCTTTACTTTGAACCAACTTCTAACTCTTTTTTCTTGCTTATGCGGGTTTTCCCCTCAAGGCTTTGAGAACTGTGGAAATCTTGTCCTCACACAAGTGAGTGCACCCCTGGGAGGCTGGGACCATTGTTGTTAGGCTTAAATTGCTAAATAAATTATTTTAATTATAATTACACATGGGACTCTGAATCATCACAGTGCAGTCACAAACATGTAAGCATACAAAGATTTTTGATTACTGTGACCAGCTAAATTGCCAAACCACTTGACAATCGTGTGTTCCTGCATCGAACAACCGATCCGTGCTTAAGAAGAATCACCATCTTTGGAACCTTGCTTATTCTTAATAAATGGTGAATACCCATTCTGCAACAACTTCTCAACCTCCTCAAATTGCAGTCCTTTGGTTTCTGGCACAAGGAAGTAAATGGCCAATAGTCCAAGGAAGGAAAACACAGCAAACAGCAGGAATGTGCCCGCTGAGCCAAGAGCCTCAGTCAATGTCAAGAATGTCTCGCTCACTATAAGATTTGAGGTCCAGTTTGAAACAGCAGCAATTCCTCCACCAATGCCTCTGTATCTCAATGGGTATATTTCTGAGTTCACAATCCATGGCACAGTTCCCATTCCTGGTGAGTACATTATGATATACAATCCCAATAGTATAATTGCCAGAAATCCTACTTTGCTTGGACAACCTTTCCTGTACCACGTACGACTCTCAGCTTTGCATGCACCTTTCAAAATGTCGGTTGCAGCCACACATGCTCCGGCAGCAAACTGATTAGAAGCACATCGTTGAAAAACAAGTTCAATGACAATGAAACTTATTTGTGTCATTAAGGGGAAACTATCAAAAGGAGGGTGAAATTGAATTTTGAGTGCGGTCTCTTAGAACAATGTTGAAATTTTTTACTATTTGAATTATAGGATAATTCCGTATTTGGTAGTGTAGTGTATAAGACGTTCAAGTGTAAAGGTTGAGCTTACTCGGTTGTCTCCATTTGAACAATATGCACAATCTGTTGCTTTCTGCAAGCATGTCATGCAATTCCAAGATGATGCATCTGGAGCCTGCACATAAGCCGAACATGTAGAGTTGGCACCAAAGTGGGCGGATTCAATTTTACTGATACCCGGGGCCGTGGTGGATGCTTGGTAAAACACCCCAGCTAACACCACAAGGCAACAGATTATCCCAAACATAGAGATAATCATCAATCTCCTCCTCCCATATCTATCTACAAAACACATACTAACGATAGAGCCAATAGCATTAAGACCAGAAGTGACAAGAGAGAGTGCTAAAGCTGTCTGGTTTGAAGCAATTCCAGCAAATTGGATAATGGTTGGACTATAATACATGACAGTGTTTATACCAACAAATTGTTGAGCCACTTGAACAGCAATACCAGCGTAGAGCCCTCTCCGAACTACATCATTGCTCCAAGCTTTCCTTAGTTTTTCAATCATACCACCTTCTCCAATGGAACCTTCCTCGGCCTTTTCTTCTTCAATTGATTTGTTCAGGGCTTGCATTTCGTCTTCAACTTCTTCATCAGGATAGATTTTCCCCAATATGGACCTGGCCTCATCAATCTTACCCTGATCAACAAGGTAAAACATATTTTACCACCAACATATGAACGATTCAATTTGATTAGAGAAAAAGTAAATTATCAAAGAAGAATAGTATCACAGACAAAGAACATTGATCAAAACCTTTCGGTAAAGCCATCTAGGAGACTCGGGGAGGGACATCATCAGTACAAATTGAACGAGGGCTGGAATTCCTGCAACACCAAGCATCCAACGCCAGGTTCCATGGACCTGAAACAAATTATGCAGTTGGTTATGCCATGTATTCTTTTGCTTCTAAAATCGAACAACGCAATCAACTAAGAGCAACTAAAGCTTCCCAAATCCTTACTTGTGTGAAAGCTAGATTGATAAGATATGACAGAAACTGGCCTCCTGTGATTAGCAAACCATTAGTGCTCACAAGTGCACCTCTAATTCTATGAGGCGAAGCTTCTGAAATGTAGAGAGGCGCTGTCATGGATGCCATTCCAACCCCTAAACCCACAAGTATTCTTCCAATAATAAGCATCCATGGAGCTGGTGAAACTGCCATAACTGTTGCGCCAACGAAGAATAGGAAATCAGCGACTAAAATTGATATCTTCCGACCAAACCTGTCATTAATCCATCCACCAAATGCAGCACCGATGATGGCTCCTGCTACAGCCATGCTTACTATGGTTTCCTATCCATACACAAACCAAAAAAAACTTTATCAAATTCACTGGTTTGTGGGAAGATAACAAACGTACAAATATCCATGAAGCTTTTCCCATTTGATGTTAGTAAAGGTGATTGAGGTTCTTTTACCTGCAACCATGTCTTCTTGTCAACAGCCTTGAAGTCTTCACGAATGTAAAGGAGGGCACCAGAAATAACTCCTATACCCCCCAATGCAAACAAACTATTAACCAGACAGAGACTAGAGTAATGGTGCTTTTTTTTTTTGGTTCAACAGTCAGGGTATTTGAGTCGGTTTATGTGTATTGCAACTATTTCTTTTTTGGTTCGATTAAAGGCAGGTCATTCACGTCAGGACCCGTTATTCATGAGGGATAAATTTCTTATAACATGATTTCAAAGGATTGTCAAAGTTTGAACTTTGGATGTCTAATTTTACAATTCGTTCTTATTACCATTTGAATTACTGTTGCGGTGAGGAGAAAAAAGCCTAGAGTTTATACCTGTGTCGTAGCCAAACAGGAGCCCTCCAATGCCTGCTGATAAGGCCAGTCTCATGATGTATGGTGTCTTCCATGACGTCCGCCAGCATTCTGTGAATTCTGTTTTATCTGCTTTTGAAATTCCGCCCTCAACCATTTTAGCTTTTCAAAATTAGTTTTGTAGGAGAAAATCCAGGTTCTTGGAAAGAAAAGAAGACACCACCAGACCAGAGGGAATTTTGACAACCTTTAATATCCACAAGGTACGACGATGAAGAAAATTAGCATTGTCAATCGTGTATAATGGAATTAGTTTCTCTATATATACGACATAAGAAAGGCATTAAGTTGAAATCATGTATCTAATATTTCATAACATCTATTTTTACGATTAAAAAGCCATGGCTAAATGCATACGGCCAAGAGAAAAAAATAAATCAATCCATTTTAGTTTCCAAGATGTTGAATACAATCTAAACCATATGATACACTGAAGAGAACACATTGAGGTGATGAAATTCCCATGCCCCCATAAAGCGATATTGCTTCTCAAAGTTAACGCATGAAGGAAGGAGTTTTTAATCATTTCGCAAGAATAACAACAATTTCATGAAAGAAAAGTCATTGTGAAGAGAGACCTTAAATCTCACCGAAAGCCTTCTTATTTTGCAATCTATCCTTCCTTCAGAATTTCCACCCTTCTTATTATATAAGCTGCAATTTAAAGAATGATATTCTCTCTCNAAAGCGATATTGCTTCTCAAAGTTAACGCATGAAGGAAGGAGTTTTTAATCATTTCGTAAGAATAACAACAATTTCATGAAAGAAAAGTCATTGTGAAGAGAGACCTTAAAGCCTTCTTATTTTGCAATCTATCCTTCCCTTCAGAATTTCCACCCTTCCCTATAAGCTGCAATTTAAAGAATGATATTCTCTCTCTCTCTCTCTCCCTAATAATATATCTTTGGGAGGATAAGATGGCTGTCATTGGCTCCACTTAAGTTTCGGATATGGTGATATTCTGGGTAGAATCTGTTGTCCTTTTAGTCTTCAAAAAATGATCTGTAGATAGATACCAGGGTAAAATTCTTTTAAACATTAGGAAGGGGGGGTTTAATGTGCACAAGAGAGTGATGTGCACAATAATGAGGGTTAAAACAATTTTGGCCTAGATATTAATGCACGTGCAAAGGTAGGTAATGTGTAGGTTCAGCTACCTAAAAGATCATGATCATGATTTGCTGGAAATGTTGAAGATTAATTTGACTGGTCAAAACAGCCTAGTGAAAGGGTCAACTGGTTTCCCATATGGATCCATTCCATTCATCACATCACTTGGCATTTGTATTTGTAAAAGGAAGATGAGTANGGGTTAAAACAATTTTGGCCTAGATATTAATGCACGTGCAAAGGTAGGTAATGTGTAAGTTCAGCTACCTAAAAGATCATGATCATGATTTGCCGGAAATGTTGAAGATTAATTTGACTGGTCAAAACAGGCTAGTGAAAGGGTCAACTGGTTTCCCATATGGATCCATTCCATTCCATTCATCACATCACTTGGCATTTGTATTTGTAAAAGGAAGACGAGTGCTGCCCCTTATTCTTAACATTTCCTGGAGCATACATGTATTGCACAATTATTTGAACCCCTCACACGAACCCAATGAAAAATTTCGGAGTTATAATTCACCTGATATGCATGCATAGTTTATAAGTTGTGATTATATATCTATAGATCTTATATAATAACACCCAATTCAAAGTTTCCCTAACTGCGTTATGGTTGGAACCACCAGTTTCCCTCGTATGCTAGTTGCTCATTTGAAACCAAGTACTTGCATATCACAAACACTCGACATTCTTATAACAACAACAACAATACCCATGGAGCTTTTTCAGAATCCATAGAAAGAACACGAAATAAACAAGCAACAACCATCCCTTCCACTAGCTCTACTCGNCACTCGACATTCTTATAACAACAACAACAATACCCATGGAGCTTTTTCAGAATCCATGGAAAGAACACGAAATAAACAAGCAACAACCATCCCTTCTACTAGCTACTCAAGGGATGAGGGGCAGTTTGAGCAGACTAATGGCACATGGAATCAGTATAACAAGATACCACCATTTGCATGCATATTTTTCCACCCACATGATATGAAAGGTGCAATCCTACTACTAAGAAACATCAGAATACACACCTCTCACGTTAGGGAGAGAAAAAATAACCTGATGAAATTCCCAGTGACAGAATAGTAGGGCCAGAACTCGGACATAAAACAAAGAAATGGTGTCATCACAAACTACATTCCACAGTTCAACTCCACTTGAGCCATTCAACAAAAAGGAAACACGAAGCATACAAATCCTTTCAAATAAACACATGCCATTTGAAGAACACATGTTCATAAAATAAGAAAAGAGAAAATAATGGAAGCAACATCTTCAAATTATATAGACAGGAAATTATTAACATTGGTTAAAAGTGATTTTTTTTTATTTACCTAAAAAAATTGGCTTACATTCTTTTTCCTTCTGTTGAAAATCCAGAATCAACTAAGAGCATACAAAAGATATCTTTCATAGAAGGCGTTATTCCCAATCCTAAACTAAATGAGGCAGAAGTATTAATTTATCATGCAACCCTCAACAGGAAATTATCCGGGGATTAGTGTGGACCTAATGCAACAACTGGTAATGCGATGTGTGTAAACCAAATAGGAATTGTGTGAACAAGATAATGTCATGCGTGGAAGAACCCAAGAAAAATCCAATCAAAACAAAATATACTAAAGAAAAAATTGAGAACTACTACAACTACTAAAACAAGGTTGACAAATATTTTGTCATGTCTACACCTTGGCATCTCAAACCAAAAGTGGAGAGAAAAAAACAAACCTCAAAATCCAACAGCTGTATTGTGGGGAGGACTGTATTACAATAAACCATAAGGTGTGCAAATATGTTGGGATCACACCATACATATAGAAAAATGAATCACCGAAATTCATCTCACGCACATGCAATTTCTAATCTAAATACAAAAACGCCATTGAGTAGTGGAAAGTTGAAGCCACCAGCTCAACTGCTTCCATTATGGTACAGTTCCATTTTTTAAACCAATGCTTTCTGGCACGTAAAAGTTGATCCCATCTCAAGTAAGGCAATAAGCAAACAATTACAACCATGTAACAATCCAACATACACCAATGCAAAGAAGGAACTACTATACTAAACCTTGCTCTAACTCTTAATCTTAATACTAGAGTTTCAAGCTACTCTAAATTTCTTATTTCCAAAGTCAAATTGCTGGGTGCTTATTCACATTCTTAAACCAAGCTAAAGCCCGTTAATTGAAAAGGTTAGACATTGACTTAAATGTGGAATCACCAAGCCGCTGGAGTTACCTACAACAGGTCCTTATAAACTTAAGTAAGCAAGGCCAAAGTTAACATTCCGCTATCATCAGAAACATTTAGTGTTTGGAGGAAGCAAGTTTATAACAACCTAGCCTCAAATAGCCCTTACAATTCAAGATAATTATTCAAATTGAATCAGTGAAATCTACTACATGATCGACTTAAACAACAGCAAAGCATTTCTCAGTTTACATCATTGGTACACATATTATCACAAACACAGTAAATATGCCTCAATACTGAAAATTAAAAGAGCAATTCATTACAACTATTTGCATTTAATAAAATCCTACCCTCAGATTTAGCCATAGAACACTAAGATGCAGCCAATCGACTAAACCACATAAAATCAATCTCATGTGCAGTAATAAACCTTGTATAAAGATAAAAAAAATTACTCATCACGGAAGATATTAAAACTGCAAAAATTAAAAGCCCAGAATTCAGTCGGAATACATAGATAAATTCATATGCATCTTAGTTTCTCATAACCTCAAAACATAATTGAAAATTTAAGCTAGACAATCCATTCCATAATTAAAAATAACACAAAGTACTGGGCAGATAATGATATTAAAAGAACTACTGTGACGACGATTATAAAAGTGAACATCACTCAGTCACCGCCAGCCTTCTGGTACACATAGGTGAGCCCACACTTGCCACAGTAATGCCGATCGAAGTGATTGGCCATGAAGGTCCCGGCCCCGCACTCCGCATTGGGACATTCCTTCCTCAGCCTCTGAACTTTCCCAGAATCATCCACCTTATAGAACTGAAGCACCGCAAGCTTAACCTTCTTCTTCTTGTGCTTGATCTTCTTGGGCTTCGTGTAGGTCTTCTTCTTACGTTTTTTGGCGCCACCGCGAAGACGAAGAACCAGGTGGAGAGTGGATTCCTTTTGGATGTTATAGTCGGCTAGGGTTCGGCCGTCCTCGAGCTGTTTTCCGGCGAAGATGAGGCGCTGCTGATCTGGGGGAATTCCTTCCTTGTCTTGGATTTTGGCCTTGACATTGTCAATGGTGTCCGAGGACTCGACCTCGAGGGTTATGGTTTTCCCGGTTAGGGTTTTCACGAAGATCTGCATTTTGGAGGGTTGGGAGAGAGGAGCAATGGAGGCGAGGCGAGCGTTAGGGTTTTGCGATGAGGGGTGCGCGAGTTTATATAGCGTAGGGTAGGGGATAAGGTGGATTTTTGTTTCCGGTTTTACCCTCCAAAATGGGTACATTTACGGTTTTCTGTTAGTCCACAAATGACAAATCTCCAAGCAAATTGCTAAACTTTTACTCGACCCCCCAAAAAAAAAAAAAAAAAAAATTGCTACACATTTGTCTAATATAAACAAATCAAGATAATATTCGCATTGTTGAAATATTAAAGTTTTTCGTACAATTAAGATATTGTATAATTCAAACATAATGCTAAATACATCATCATACATAAAAAAAAAAAAAAATTAGTCATAGTCATAGTCTTAGGCATCCAAATCTAATTCTATTTACGGATCGTTAAAGAAAAATTTAGAATAGGTACCCTGTCCATGTCCATCTAAACCCACTTCCAATTTAAATAAATTGTTTTTGTTTCAAAACTAAACTTTAATTTAATTTTTGCTTCCGATCACTCCTTTGCTAAACCCAATACATTAATTGAAAATCAATGAACAAAAACAAAAACAAAAACAAAAACGTGATCATTTATGCAAGTTTAACTAATGTACGAAGGTTTTATTTCTGACTCTAAAAGTAATTGTTGAAATGAAGGGACATATGGGTGAAGGAGTTTTGACTTTCGAGGGATATGTAAGGGTGAATAAGATTGGCATTGGCTACAAGCTACTACTCAAATAGATGAGGAGGATGCAACAACTTGCTGCATTCTGATTTATTATCCAGTCCAGTGCATGAAAACACAACACCACACCACACCACACTTGCTGTTCTCACTTACTGTTCATCATGAAATAATTAAAATCACGTCTTTAACTCTTCTTTTTATGTGTTTCTCAAAAATAACGTATTTACATACAAACTCTTAATTGCAGCTGCGCAAAATATATCCTGCAGCTTGTCTGATTATAACAAANAATAGGAATTGTGTGAACAAGATAATGTCATGCGTGGAAGAACCCAAGAAAAATCCAATCAAAACAAAATATACTAAAGAAAAAATTGAGAACTACTACAACTACTAAAACAAGGTTGACAAATATTTTGTCATGTCTACACCTTGGCATCTCAAACCAAAAGTGGAGAGAAAAAAACAAACCTCAAAATCCAACAGCTGTATTGTGGGGAGGACTGTATTACAATAAACCATAAGGTGTGCAAATATGTTGGGATCACACCATACATATAGAAAAATGAATCACCGAAATTCATCTCACGCACATGCAATTTCTAATCTAAATACAAAAACGCCATTGAGTAGTGGAAAGTTGAAGCCACCAGCTCAACTGCTTCCATTATGGTACAGTTCCATTTTTTAAACCAATGCTTTCTGGCACGTAAAAGTTGATCCCATCTCAAGTAAGGCAATAAGCAAACAATTACAACCATGTAACAATCCAACATACACCAATGCAAAGAAGGAACTACTATACTAAACCTTGCTCTAACTCTTAATCTTAATACTAGAGTTTCAAGCTACTCTAAATTTCTTATTTCCAAAGTCAAATTGCTGGGTGCTTATTCACATTCTTAAACCAAGCTAAAGCCCGTTAATTGAAAAGGTTNACTCTTAATCTTAATACTAGAGTTTCAAGCTACTCTAAATTTCTTATTTCCAAAGTCGAAGTGCTGGGTGCTTATTCACATTCTTAAACCAAGCTAAAGCCCGTTAATTGAAAAGGTTAGACATTGACTTAAATGTGGAATCACCAAGCCGCTGGAGTTACCTACAACAGGTCCTTATAAACTTAAGTAAGCAAGGCCAAAGTTAACATTCCGCTATCATCAGAAACATTTAGTGTTTGGAGGAAGCAAGTTTATAACAACCTAGCCTCAAATAGCCCTTACAATTCAAGATAATTATTCAAATTGAATCAGTGAAATCTACTACATGATCGACTTAAACAACAGCAAAGCATTTCTCATTTTACATCGTTGGTACACATATTATCACAAACACAGTAAATATGCCTCAATACTGAAAATTAAAAGAGCAATTCATTACAACTATTTGCATTTAATAAAATCCTACCCTCAGATTTAGCCATAGAACACTAAGATGCAGCCAATCGACTAAACCACATAAAATCAATCTCATGAGCAGTAATAAACCTTGTATAAAGATTAAAAAAATTACTCATCACGGAAGATATTAAAACTGCAAAAATTAAAAGCCCAGAATTCAGTCGGAATACATAGATAAATTCATATGCATCTTAGTTTCTCATAACCTCAAAACATAATTGAAAATTTAAGCTAGACAATCCATTCCATAATTAAAAATAACACAAAGTACTGGGCAGATAATGATATTAAAAGAACTACTGTGACGACGATTATAAAAGTGAACATCACTCAGTCACCGCCAGCCTTCTGGTACACATAGGTGAGCCCACACTTGCCACAGTAATGCCGATCGAAGTGATTGGCCATGAAGGTCCCGGCCCCGCACTCCGCATTGGGACATTCCTTCCTCAGCCTCTGAACTTTCCCAGAATCATCCACCTTATAGAACTGAAGCACCGCAAGCTTAACCTTCTTCTTCTTGTGCTTGATCTTCTTGGGCTTCGTGTAGGTCTTCTTCTTACGTTTTTTGGCGCCACCGCGAAGACGAAGAACCAGGTGGAGAGTGGATTCCTTTTGGATGTTATAGTCGGCTAGGGTTCGGCCGTCCTCGAGTTGTTTTCCGGCGAAGATGAGGCGCTGCTGATCTGGGGGAATTCCTTCCTTGTCTTGGATTTTGGCCTTGACATTGTCAATGGTGTCCGAGGACTCGACCTCGAGGGTTATGGTTTTCCCGGTTAGGGTTTTCACGAAGATCTGCATTTTGGAGGGTTGGGAGAGAGGAGCAATGGAGGCGAGGCGAGCGTTAGGGTTTTGCGATGAGGGGTGCGCGAGTTTATATAGCGTAGGGTAGGGGATAAGGTGGATTTTTGTTTCCGGTTTTACCCTCCAAAATGGGTACATTTACGGTTTTCTGTTAGTCCACAAATGACAAATCTCCAAGCAAATTGCTAAACTTTTACTCGACCCCCAAAAAAAAAAAAAAATTGCTACACATTTGTCTAATATAAACAAATCAAGATAATATACGCATTGTTGAAATATTAAAGTTTTTCGTACAATTAAGATATTGTATAATTCAAACATAATGCTAAATACATCATCATACATAAAAAAAAAAAAATTAGTCATAGTCATAGTCTTAGGCATCCAAATACAATTCTATTTACGGATCGTTAAAGAAAAATTTAGAATAGGTACCCTGTCCATGTCCATCTAAACCCACTTCCAATTTAAATAAATTGTTTTTGTTTCAAAACTAAACTTTAATTTAATTTTTGCTTCCGATCACTCCTTTGCTAAACCCAATACATTAATTGAAAATCAATGAACAAAAACAAAAACAAAAAACGTGATCATTTATGCAAGTTTAAGTAATGTACGAAGGTTTTATTTCTGACTCTAAAAGTAATTGTTGAAATGAAGGGACATATGGGTGAAGGAGTTTTGACTTGCGAGGGATATGCATGGGTGAATAAGATTGGCATTGGCTACAAGCTACTACTCAAATAGATGAGTAGGATGCAACAACTTGCAGCATTCTGATTTATTATCCAGTCCAGTCCAGTCCAGTGCATGAAAACACAACACCACACCACACTTGCTGTTCTTACTTACTGTTCATCATGAAATAATTAACATCACGTCTTTAACTATTCTTTTTATGTGTTTCTCAAAAATAACGTATTCACATACAACTCTTAATTGCAGCTGCGCAAAATATATCCTGCAGCTTGTCTGATTATAACAACAAATAAATAACATATAGTATACAGTAACTCCTACATCTTAAGCACACCACAAATTTCAGAGATATTTGATCTCTCTCTCTCTCTCTCTCTCTCTCTCTCTATTATGGACATGTCACAACCATAATACATCTATTGCCAAGGCTGTTGGAAGTACGCACTGCATTGAGGGAAGGTATTCAGGAAACTTGAAATGAGTTCCAGTGGCAATGACTGTCCATGTATGAGAACTTGGCGGTATCTCTCTATCAAAGACAGCACAGTCCTTTGCTGATCAACCTCTTCTAAACCACCTATACAACAAAATACAGTCGCAGTTAAGCTCAAGATCCAGAAAAAATATTGAACTATAATAAGATGACCTACATTCCTTCAGCCAATCACATAAACTTGCAAGCACAAACGTCAGTGTAGGGTTGGTAACATCATGCACATATCTATATATATATACCAATCAGAACTTTCGAGACCATCAGAGACCTAAGATATGCTTTCTCAAAAGTGATGTGAATTGACTGTCGCTTGCTGCTTTGGAAGTGGTGTGAAGAATCATTGAATCCACCTCAGGAAATACAGAAAGTAACACAACTGGGCTGTCCAGACTGAATAGTTTTCATTGAATAGAACGACCATTTTATAAAACACGGATCTGATTGTACAACAATTATTCAAACCAATACAAGATGTGAAATAATCCTTCCAGCAGAGTCTCTATAACAGCTAGGACCGTCAATTCCAATCAGTGGTCGAGAAGGTTTATGTGCATGCATCTTTTCAAAAGAGATTTTGTCGTGTCATTTGAGAAAATCTAACAAGAACAAGACTGAAAATAACAAGTCAAACTTCCAATCATGCTCAAATCTTTTTTGAAAGTAACAGCCAAACCAATATGATTTGACGAAAAAGACACTTTTAAATATATAATACTCTGAAAAGTAATTCAATTTCACCCGAGACGTTCATAGTTTAAAAATAATAATAGTGTGAATTTCATAAGAAGTATCAGCTGGATTTACCCAATTCAATCTCCTGATCTTGATCTTCCACATCCCCTTCTTCGACAATGGTCCCATTTTCCAAGGCAATGGCTGCTTTGGCACACCTTGCCAGGAATTCTTCTTCAGTTTCTTCACGGTCATCCTCGGAATCCTAATTACAACATTTAAGGAATTCTGTAGTCAACAAATGAAAGGCCAATGCACCAAATCTTTAATTGCCACATATTTTCTGATCATCTGAGACTTATCAAATAATTAGTCAAATCCATAAGGCATGGCATTGTAATGTTATGTAGGGTGGATATGCTATATAGCCTGCCCAACAGTATGTCTTTTTGATAGCTTTCCTGAAGCATGTCGGATCAAGCAAGAAAGTTAGGTAGTCAAACCTCATCATCATCAGTATCCTCATCACCATCATCTTCATCTTCATCCTCATTCTCTTCATCTCCTTCTTCCTCTTCTTCTTGCACTTGTTTCAACCGCACAGATGCCTCCAACAGAGAAGCAAAGCAGTCTTGCAGCAGACCACTTCCTTGCTTGCCTACCCTTAGCAGCCGTTCAACCACTTTTGCTAATGCCAAGACTGAAAGTTATCAAAAAACTGTCATTAACACCATTAATTAACAAGAAACTTGCCACCCACCATTACTGAATTTAAAATGACTAAACCCCCATGACTTTTCTAATTAAATGTCATGAGAACCAGCAACAATAAGTCATAGACACAGCCACTCAGAAAAATAGGCCGCCTCATAGATATTGAAGTGATGGCACCTTTTGCAAGATGAAGACATCTTAATGTAAAAAAATTGGCCATGGTATCATTAAAACCCCATTTCAAGAACCACATGAGCCATACATGAAAAAGCCCAAAAGTTCATGCTCATGGCCAATTACCCCCTGCAAGACAGAGGTGGGAGTGCTTACCCAATTGAAGATCATATTTTAACCAAATACACATCAACTAGGTAAAATGATCACAGCACCTTCCAGGTAGTTTATAGAGAATAAATAAGCTCACTGCTACTTGGCTAACAGTTGGCGATACCCTTCCCAAGTTTCCAAGTTACTAAAAGGTTGATTTAAGAATTATATATTACAATGCTAACCAGTCAACTTAATCTCAGACTCTGTTGATAGACCATGTTCAAATTTGCTAGTTGAGACAAAACCAAGAGCAGCTGCATAGACTGTGAAGCCATCATGTTCGCTCTTCTCCAAAATCTTCTCCACAGTATCAGGATAGCATAAATAGCACGATGATATCGCAAGCAACAAAGGTTTCCACAGTGAACAGGGCTTCATTTGAATTTCTACAAAGCGAGAGAACACAGCCTGGCTGAAAGCAATAACCAATGCCTGCTTGACACTTTCTCCTTCAAGTGAATATGTCGGAACATGTAACAATAGGTGGACACATGAAGAAGCTCTCCAGATTGCTGATGGATATTGTGAAAAGGCTCCACTGACAAAGGCACCTATTCCTTCGATAATGGATCGTTGCGGCACAGGTGGAGCTGGAGGGGATGGCACATCCCTCACAATGAAATTCTTCAAAGGAAAGTTTTTGTGTAGATTAACAACTTCCTTGATGCAATTGAAAATTGATAAGTCCTCCATCTCCTCCCATTCATGCCAGTCAGCAATCAGATCAGCCCAAACAAGTAACAATTCCAAAATCTTGAGCTTTGAAACCACATCACTTTCAGCAACATCTTGCATAATAAACCTGAGCAATGCTGACGAATCATCAATGCAAGACGAAGGGGCCAATGAAAGAGCATCCTCAACTTCCTGACCATTCACCTTGCAGGGACAAATTCAAACATGTGACATAAAATCAAAGGGCAGTCATACATCAAATTGCCCATTAGCAACACAAGTCATATGGAAAGTCTAAATCCCCCATCCCTTGTCCATGTCCTTAAGCGGATACCAATCCAATAGATGATAGCTTGAGCAAGAAAAGCTATACTGGAAGTTCTCCGCAATATGCTCTCTCTCTCTCTCTCACACACACACACACACAAACACGGAAGAAAAGAAAAAGAGGCCACCCATGGGAGTGCACACAAAGAGCGAGGGAAGTGCAGCAAACAAACTTTGCAGACTGATAAGGGAAACTTGGGAAGATGAAAAGGTTAAGGTAAAAAACAATGCTTTCGAGCCTTTACAGAAATGAGTTCTGTAGACCAAACGACATGTTCATAGATGAAGTGGCATTGGGTAAAACGTGAGTTATTTTCATAAAGAGCATTGGTCTATACTAACCTGGTTTGAAATAAACCCACCAAACATTCTAACAAGATACAACCATTTAATGCCAAAATTCTCTCCTCTTTCTCTTTTCTTGTATTTTCAGCATGTGCGTGTTCGCTCACGTGTGTAAATATATGTATGAGGGCAGTGTGTGTTTGCATGCATGTGCACGTGTATGTGCATTGTTTGTGTACACATGTGAGGGGCCATTGCTTGGGTGGTGGTAAAAGCCTGGGCTAACAATTGTAATGCTATGGATTCAAAAGGAGGGCAGGCACTTATGCAATAATGAATTTCTCCTGTACAATCAAAATAACTTGTTGTAATATAACAGCTTCATTTCAAGGTAACACCATTGAACAACTCCATATAGCAGCAAAACAGGCGAAAGAAGATTTGTCCTACTAATCTTGGAGACATATAGACAAACACATACATATACAGCTACAAATAAATGTTCATATCTAATGCTAAAACAAAAATTGAAACATTGATAAATATCTGTAGTCATTGTCCTGCAAACTACAATGAACAACCTTTAACACTCACCATTTGCTGTGCAGGTCTTAGCCAAGCCTCCTGTAAGAGATCTGAAAAAGCTCCAGCAATGGTAGCCCGACCAGATACCCACGTTTCCCTTGATTCAATCCCTTTGGCTTCCTCAGGCTCAGAGTCTTCCCAACACTGAGCCATCACTGCTAATGCTGCAAAGCCCCGTTCAACCTTCTATTACCAACACAGGGTCAGCTTATAGTCAAACCCACTGTTCAGATTCATAGCTTTCAGTTGTGTGTGTGTGTGTGTGTGAGAGAGAGAGAGAGAGAGAAATTAATCATGGAGTTTAGTTTCTGAATTGACATCCATTATTACCAATCCAATACCTTTTCAAAAAAAAAGAGCTTAGACGGGCAGAAAACAGAGTGTTGAACCCTGTTACGTTCAAAATAAAAATGTGTGTTCTAGCATGTGCATGTGTGTCCGTTTATGCCACAAATTTTCCATACCTCCGCAAGTAACAGCCCATTAATCCTTACACTGCAGGTTAAGAACTCGAATCCAAAGGAATTAAGAAAATCACCCATCTTTACAGCCATGATCTACTGTGTAATAGACACAATAATGACTTAGATACATCACAATTGTCATACAATCTATTGAACTCTAAGACGTATGAAACTCTTTTCCTAATGGGGGAAAATAACCCAGACGGTGGTGAGGGCAATGGCTTTGAGAATCTCTTTTTCTTAATTTGTGGGAAGTCTATGTTAGCTACAAAGCATAGAAGATTTATCAAAATAAAAAGACAACCATAGTGTAAACAAATCAAGAGAATTATATGTAAAACATACTTGAGGCCATGGCCCTGGTTTTGGAGGTATGTACTTTGAGATTGCTCCAACCAACAATGGAACAATATGTGGGAGATGAGGTGCGACATTTTCATTTCCAGCCTCCACCAAAGTACTCAGAAGTTGAAATAAAATGGAGGTTTCATCATCTTCGCTATCAATCCTACCAACTACAACTTGAAGAAGAGGTAACCACTCAGGCGGCAAGTAGTCATTCTGTGGAAAATAGCAGTAGAAAACAGATAATAAACCAAACTGACATTCTTAATGCAACTGTAACATAGATAAGGGTTTGATATGGGCACACCACCCCAACATACTTCAACAAGTTGAGTAATAGCACCAGCAGCAGACACACGCACAGGATAACAAGAAATATCAACCATATCTGGAATTGTCAATGCTTTCAGCAGCAAAGAATAGATGTCAGCACTCATCTCCTGGAAAACAAGGAATAGCCCCATAATAGGTTGCTAATAGCACACTCCATGGAATAGACTTCGGTTCTCAAGAGATACATTGGAAGACCCAGGAAAATGAATTAAGTCAAAGACATGCATTATTGGCAATTGAAAGCATATACAGATAAGCTCTACATTTGCATAAAGAAATGGAAGGTATGGCATGAGCAAGAGATTATCTCACTTCAGGAATACAGGAAGCAAGCTCTCCAAGTGCCCAGTTCGCAGAGGCCACCAGATAAGGTTGAGACGCAGATACTTTATATAGTGGTAGCACCCGATTCTGAATAAGGGTAGCGGTATAACCAGGTTTCTGCTCACTTAGAAACTAAGTATGCAGTAGGCAATATCAGAATTATAAATCACAGTTCCGAGATTCTTAATAAACGAAGGTTCAAGTGAGATTTTCTTACATCTTGAAGGCTTCCATATGCCATCAAAACACCATAATAACTGCCACAGTTGATGTGAGAACCATATTAGAAAATAAGAAACAAAGTGAGAAAAGAGCATACAGCATGGACTGAAAATATATTATGCTTTCAAAAGTAAGAATAAATGGAGAAAAGAAAACTAATATGGATAACATTCTAGAGCATCCAAATTGTGCCACTCTCTTTTTCCCTTCATATTTATGGTCCATGTTCATTTTATAATCCACTCTGAACAAGAGTGACATAGAAACCAAAAAATGAAGAACACAAATATGGATAAGGTTCCACAGCATCAAATGTGTGCTACTCTCTTCTCGCCATTCATGTAAAACCATAAAAAAACTCTATTGGCAATGAGTTCTCTCTAATTTCATTTCAACAAACAACAATCAATTACACCGATTGCACAGATGAAAAACAAGTAAACATACTGAACATCAAACACGAATCTTCAACAACAATCAGAATTACTGGACTTATCTACAGAAGGTTTCTCCGAACTTACTCATTTACAATCTTTGTTACAGATATATTAACTTCAGTGGGGATGCAGAACTTTGACAAAAACGGTAGCACTAACAGCTCCCCCATGGAACTTCGATCTTTCCGTTTGTTATTTTCACCTTTCTTACGCTTTGATGAAATTGAAGAAGCCACAACTGGAGGCCCCTGCAAGCGTTAAAGAATCATTAACCTGACCATTCAACAGGAACAGCTGGAGGCATCAATTTGAAAATACCAACCTTTGACGTCGAAATAACACCAAGTAAATTTAAAGCACTTTTTCTTGCAGTGAACATGTCTTCTCTCCATCCAGAAATTTCTTCCTGCAGCACATATTGAAAGCAACAAAATATCAAACCCAATCCAACTGAAAAACAGATAACTTAAAAAAATCACAATGGACGTTCATACAAGATCAGATGGAAGATTCCTCCGTATGTACTCATCTGCGTCTTCTTCCCATTCTGTATTATCCTACTTGCAAACATTACAGAAATCTCAATTTCAGCAGTGTGCAGTCTAGATGTGATATCAAGGAGCACAACACATTCTTAGATCTTGGCAGGAGGGAGGAAGGAGTGAGCATGCTTAATCATAGTGCCATCCTACCCAATGCAATTCCATTAAATTGGCCCTTCTCTAATGTGAAACCAACATTTTAACATTGAAAATACCAGGTCACAAATTCTGAAGCAAGACCCATCCCCACAAAAACAATAAAGATGTAAAACATTTGTACCTTCTCATTCATTGTTAGTGCTGGGAAGATTGCTGAATCAAGCAAGGACGAAAAGTGGGGCGAAACCAGCCTCCATCCCTGTTCTTAGATGATAATTAAAAACTTAAAGTAACTAATGAACTCATGTGGTAGGAGGTAATACAAGAACCAAAACCATTGCATGAAATTGGAACACAAAGACAACCAAAGGGAACTTACAGGACCGGTCTCCAGAACACGAGAAATCACATCAAATGCTAATGAAACAATCCTCTCAGACAGGGAATCCAGCTTCTGCACAAGAAACATATCCATAAGCTTTCAAAACAACAACAAAGGGAAAAAGTAGGATGACAACGAAACACCAGTGTATGTGCCATGGAGAATTTGTCAGAAGGTAAGCAAAGCATTTTGCAGTACTTGTATGTGCCACGTGCAGTTGCACGTCCACAAAAAGTGTAAGCGATATGGAACAGTTGCATGCCAACTATCAAGTGACAATCACCATCAAATGCTGAACAAACAAAGATGCATTCTAGAGTCTCCACATCATCACAAAGGTAACAGCAACCACACAGAACTTACACTGATATTTGTGCTATGCTTGACTATTTTTGAAACACAACCTATAATGTCTGGCATGAATCTGTAAAAGTAAGAGATGCAAAATGAGAGGAAATCACAATGTTTTTATTTAACATAAGTGCAAGTTCGGGTACATTACTTGTCAGAAAATTTTCGATGTCTGGTCACTAGAGCACAGAAAATGAGCAAACTTCTCTTCCCGGCTTTCAGCCTCAGGGAGTGCCCACCTTCTGGGGACAGTTCACCATCAAAGCATAAAGAACTCAGAATCCCAATCAGATCATGGCAAAGTGAAGGAAGTAGAGGAGCCAAAGCAGACGGCATATGTGATCTCATCTACAAAACCAACTAAAATAAAACTTCCCAAAAGCTATGCTAATAACATAAGAGGCATCAAATGAAAGCACAAAATAGAAAAGCACATGTGGTTCCTTCATGGAATTCAATTGAGATTACACAAGGGAAAAGAGAAACTAAGAAACAAGTGTAGTAACTGGTAAGAGAAAGGAGAAACATAAACAATAAGTAAAGCTATGGCATATGCACAAACTACCAACTGTAAAACCTGAAATGATACCAAGTTATCTGTAGTGAACAACAAGCATAAAAAAAATCGATTGTGGTAAATGAACTATCATGTGATTGAGTCAAGAAAATCACCTGTACATGAATAAGAATCTAAATACGGAAGGAAGGAACGTGCTCATAACATATATGAAGCCTACTGCTACTTTTCCTTTTCCTTTTTCCTTTTTTGGGGCAAAAACCATGGTGTTTCTTTTGTCTTAACAGCAAAAGAACTGAAAATTAAAAAACAAGAACTAGAAACCTGAATTAAGTCCTCATTTTTCAATACCGATATGGCCGTGTTTGGTAATGATCTTAAATTTTCCAAAATGTAACACAAAGTAAAATTGCACAAATTGATTATGTTACAGAAGCGGCAAAAACTCTATTCTAAGCATCATAAATCCAGTCATCCAGTGATTCTTGTGCTTCATCATTTTTCTTTTCAGTTTTCAATTTTTGTCACCCTTTCTCTTCATAGCCTTGGTCTGTTTTTACCTAAGAGATTTCTCCTTCTCCTCCATCTCCTGACATGCTTCATAACTTTATGAAGAACTACCATTTTATCATGTGTTTTATTCGTCTAGTTTAGGGAAATAGATACAAATTATAAAGGCTTGAACTGATGTGACAGGCCATAGTTCCACCACTTTTTAATGGGCAGATGCACAGCATAAACATGCCGTTACTAGGTATGCATGATCTCAAACTAGATCACCGACTACTTATAATATGTTATTTTCTGTGATTAATTATATTTACAATCTGGCTAGCCAGATCGTAAATCCATAAATGTGTTCATTGTCATAATCAAATACAAAATTATTACTTACAGCAAAATATATGCACTTGCACACAAGTACAAGGATCTTCTCAATCTGCGAATCCACTATATTTTGGGTACTTGAAGCCTGTTTCATGCACCATGAAGGTCAATTCCATCAAGCCATGTTGAACATCAGTAACAAGAGAGACAATGGATAAGCACTTGGGAGGGCAGAGAAAGGGAAGAAATGTAGGAACAAGGCATGACCTTTTCTACACAGTGATGAAATACAGCAAGTAATGGTACAAGAATTTCTTGCGCAATCAGCTCTAGCTGTGGTGGAACTGGTTCTTTTGCCACTTTTGGATTCAAAAAGTACTGTCAAAATATTACCAAAGCGGTGTTAAATAAAGCTAAGAGACCCATGTAATAAAAATATTAAGAAAGAATTTGAAAAAACACACCAGCAATCACAATGCAACAAGACCATGTGCTATCCTTACTGTTTTCTAAGTTGCATGCCAATTTTGAAACATCCATGGGAACAAGTGTGTAATTCACATAGTGACAAGATGCAAATAAATCGATTCCGAAAAAGAGAATATGCGAAGAAAGAGCAACAATTTGCTTTACCATAGTTGTCACAATGGGAAACAAATACAAAAATGGTAATAAAAAATGCAAAAAAAAATCTTAAATTTCACCAATTGGAAAACATGAAGTTTCAATATCCAACGGGATACCTCCTGCATATAGCAAGGTTCCAGTATGAAAACGTATCTAAAGCAACTATGACACATTGCTATACAGTAGCCTCTTGAGTGTTGACCATTGGTTTTCTTATGTTCACCTCATGTATTGGGTGTTTCAACTAGTACTTCACAAGCATTTCCCAATGTTGTTAATCACAATTTTCAATGCACATCTAAATCTGATTCTAGCCCTTCCCCATAAATGTAAAAATGGGATTGCAAAAAATTGTACACATAGAATTCTGTAGAGAAAAAGTTACCTGGAATGGTCTAACGAGTGAATGTAAAACCATAAGAGCATTGATGGTTTTCCATTCAGAATTTCCACTTTTATTAATCATATCGCTGTTTTGAATTACAGATCGCAGTTCAGGTACAAGTTCGGGCCACGAATTTTGCTTCACGAACTCAGCAGCAACAATTGTTCGAAACTACAAGTACATTACATTAAGACAAAGAAATTATGTTAGTAGCTCAAAACTAAGCTCGATTGTCCAGGAAAACAAGTCTAGAAAAACATACCACTTCGACCAACACTTTCAGAACCACAAGTTCCACTTGAAGCAAAGCACGCATTAGAGCATCTCTGAATTCCTTATTGACTTTAGAAATTGTACCATTTGCATCGACATTTCGCCTAGTGAAATTCTTTAGATAAGTAGCAGCAGCAATTTTTTGACCTTCGTTTTCACCTCCTACATGATACAGCATCAAAACTCAATTAATTACCATCAAACTATAAACGTAGAGAGGACAATTAGATACACAAATTAACAACATTTCAAGATTACTTTCAGCTCGTATACATGGTTGTAAGGTTGAATTATGGTTTGGAGTTTAACTAACAATTCAACTCAAATTTAGCAAAATCAACTACTTCTGTATACACACACACACAGATATATCTATATATAGAAATCAATTGGAGGCCGGGCGGAGGGAATAAAATTACTTGCATACCGGTGGCAACGGAGAGGAGAGAGAAAGGGAAAGTAGGAAGGGAAGAGAGACGGTCAAGAGCATCGGCGGCGGAGCGGACAGCGTTGCCCTCCGGGCTCAGAGTTTGGTTGAGGAGCAGAGCGATTTGATGAGCGTCCATGTGGTGGTGGTGTGACAGAACCCTAGCTGAGGAGCTCTGAAGAAAGAGGAGGGGAGGCGCGTTGTTTTAGGGACAAAAAAGGTATGAAGTGGGTAACATCAATAAAGTATTGCGCGGGAAAATTGACAATGCCGCCGTTAAAACAACCAAATTTTAATGGAGATGCGGGGTATCGAACCCCGTGCCTCTCGCATGCAAAGCGAGCGCTCTACCGTTTGAGCTACATCCCCCAACGCTGTTTGTTGGTATTTTAGAACTTCATCATTTCTTTATACCAAGCAAACAAAGGCCTACTACCTAAAGGCTTCTTCACTCGGTATTAGGGTCCATAATCAAGTCATTTTATTCATTTTGGACTCGATTCAAGCTCCATTCATTTTTTAAATAAGTCAAAATTAAATAAATTTTTAAATTTATTTAAAAAAATAAATTCAAGAAATTCTACTTCATTATCGACCCTACTTAATGTCGTTGTCATGGTATGGTATTCGGCTATCTCCAAGAACTGAATCAGCGTGGGTGTGGGACCCGGGTTTCTACTTTTTAGAATTTCTGTCAAAAAAAGATGCGACAGACTCGAAAACAAGTCTGTGTTGAACTAATATATGAATGAATTATTTATTCTCAAAAAATATTACATAAATTAATTAAAACTTAAAAAATATAATTTAAATGTAATTACCTAAGAAATAATATATATTTAAATAATAATTTTTTAAATTTTATTTAAATTATGGACCATTATTTTTTACTCCCAGCACTTGATGATTGGGCTTTCACTTTTCGCTCCTTTTTCAACCCCATGGTCCCCACACCAGCCTGTCAAAAAAGCACCGAAACTCTGGAGGGAGGGAAATGCGGAGAACTTTGGTCATTTTCTCTTTTTTGAAAAAAAAAAAAATTCAATCCATACCATCTCTTCTCATTACAAAAAAACATCATTTTGAAAGCAATTCATCTTTTTCCATCACAAAAAAATTCTGGGTTTCGGCTCAGATGATCAATGATGTCTCCATTTGAATCTCTCATTATCTTCAAGTTCCTACACTTACCTCTCCTACTCCTATTTCTACAACCACAACCCTCTCTCAGTCTCTCCCTTTGCCGCAATACCTGCAACAACATTCCCATAAACTACCCTTTTGCCATTGATGATGGCTGCGGTGCACCACAGTACCGTAGAATGCTCAACTGCTCCACAGACTTGTTCTTCCTCACTCCATCTGGTAATTATAAAGTCCAGTCCATCGACTACGACAAAAGGACTGTAATAATCTACGACCCTGCCATGTCCACTTGCTCCATATTACAACCTCACCATGACTTTGTAATGACAGATATTCAATCAGCTATAATTCCTCCATCGCCGGACACAGTCTTCGTCCTCGTCAACTGCTCAATAGACTCTCCTGTCCTTAACCACTACAAGTCCCTTTGCTATAACTTTTCCGGTCACTCTTGTGAGGAGCTTTATGGGGCCTGCACTTCGTTTAAACTGTTTCACCTTCTCTCTAACACCACTCCGCCGTGCTGTTTTACTGGGTATAACACGGTGAAGTTCATGAGCATGAATATACTTGATTGTACACATTATACGAGTGTGTATAACACTGATAATCTGGTGGGTGTTGGGCCATTGGACTGGTTATATGGGATTAAACTCTCCTTTAGTGTGCCGGACACTGGGTGTGGACGATGTGCAAAATCCGGCGGAACGTGTGGGTTTGATGTTGAGACTGAGGGACTCGTCTGCATTTGCTCAACCACTACAAACTCTACTAGGGAGTGTGGTAAGAGCTGTTAAATGTGACTCTTACGATAATTTTATAACGTTTCGCATTGAAAAACAGGGGAGTTGTTAATGTTTTGATCTTGGTAAGTCGTGACTGATTTCTGATCATGAACTCTCTGTTTTATTTTATTTTTTTTGGGTGCAGGGAGTGTTGCAGACACAGGGGAGAGCCAGAGACCTTTCACATTGTTGCAAACTTTTGGTCTCATTTTGGTACCAGTTTTTTGTATGATTTTACGATGATGTTTTCTTTCTTCTAGTTTGGATAATGTTTATAACTGGGAAATCCTGGTTTTGCTTTACTCAACAGTGATTTGTAATGTTGACAATGAGGATCTTTTCATCTGATCTGATGGTCTGTTTTATGATTGCGTGGCCTGCATTGCAAAATTTTATGTTCAAATGCCTTCCTGCTTTCCACTGTCATTTATTTTATGGGGACATTTTTCTTTTATTAATGACTGTTTTTTATGAAGGTCGTGTGATTCTTTGTTTTTTTGTTCGTGGTTGTGGAATTTTGTAAACATATGTCTATTTTGATGCAACTTTTTTTATTTGTTTTGAACCCTTGTTTACTTGTTCATTAACTTGGTTCTATACATTTAGCCATCTTTCCTGTTTTTGTTCCAGTCTTACCTTCGTGCAGGTCCGGGAACGAGTTGCAACAGTGTTTAGTCCACCAATTTCGAGCTATTTTCGGAGGGAGGGAAAATTGTAATACAATCAATATCTGCGTAGAAACTGGTAGGTAGGCATAATGTAGAAATGGTAGGGCACCAAGTAATCAAGGATCACAGCAAATTGTCAGGAGTATAGAGTCATTTGCTACTCAAAAATGAACGGGTAATATGTTAATAACAAAGTTATTTTTAGCCAATATCTTCATATACAGTTTCAGTAATGACATTCAACGTGTATCACGACAAGAATCAGAATACACCACAAATTTATATCAGAATGTTCAGATGTAGAGTCTGCACCTGATTGAGGTCCAATTACAACACGGGACTAACGCAAACAAAATGCTGTCATCAAGCCTACATAGGTTAGTTCTAAATCTACGTATATGATTTTCCCAGGTCCTCGATTTTCATTTCCCCATTCTAAAAGGCAATGGATTGATGTTTACAAGAACAAACAAACATGTACACCTCCGTCTTCTCTTACTTGTTAGACACTACATACAAGTGCTTTAAAACCATTAGGACCGACTATAAAGCACGCACAAGTTTGTCGACGTGTTTCAGGCCTTCAATCTACTACGAATGCAGGTGTGCTTTTTCCGCCCAAATGCTTCTCAGAATCTTTTGACTTGCTCAACCAGTTGCTCCCTTCAGTGTTCAACTGTGGAAGGATTGTAAAAATAATCAGTCAGATTTAGCAAATGGTGGGGATCAACTAATATCCATAAGAACAGTGAGGGGTAAATTCTAATGACTAGCCCAGGAAATTTTACTAGCAGTAACCTAACAGCAACATTGACAATATATTCTATGCATGCCCACTACCTAGTGTTGGTTCTGAAAGTGCAAATGCAGAGACATTAGGTCAGATACACGTAAAATCATGCAATATTTGCCCAAAGTGCCTACCCAGGCATAATCTCCTGCATTATTTGCCCCAAGTGGCTAGATTATAGTACACATTGATCACTCAGTAGCCTGTGCTAAACTGTTGCACCAGTAGGCCATAAGTTATGCATCTCATGGACACACTCCACGTTAAGGAACCGAGAATGGAAAATCACCTTGGAGTTTTCAAATTTAGTAACCAGCCTCATATACTGGTCTCGTGCCTCCGGGTGACGAGCCATAGAGTGGACCCTTGCCAGAGCTTTTTCAATACCCGCATACTTCTGCTTTCGGCTGACTCGTAAAAAATCGTACTCATCATTCTTCTCAATCTCAGGTACAGCATTGTCAAGCGGTTTTACAATCCGAAATCCTCGCAATCCAGGTTTTTTACGCCTCCAACGCAGTATTGCCTTTTCAACAATACCAACGGACCAAACAAACTTTTTATACTGCTTACGAGCTTGATGCCCCCTCACATGGGCCTGAAAGCAATCAGAGCATGATACACTATACAACATAGAATCAATGGACAATTCATAGAGAACTCCATCAATTAAACCAAAATATATGTAAGATCCAACAGAAAATTGACAAAAGTTCAACCAAATAGCGAGTCCCAGAGTGCCATCTTAATAAAACTGAAAGACATAGCACTTAAATGAGAAAGAGAGGAAGAAAAAACAGCAGTTGCTATGGGAACTAACCCATTATTGCAAGTCCATGGTGCTCAAATATGATGATGTCATAACCTCACTTCTATACTCGGTACAAATATTTTTGTGATAAGATGACATACACACATGAGGCTCAAATGGATAAAGAACTAGGCTCTTCATCCCATATGAAAAATCACACAAGAGTAAAGCCAATTGAAAAACGGAGATCACTAATACAACAGTCCTGGACATGCCAAAACCCTACTTAAGTTTTGACGAGCATCATATAATAAATTAAGCAAGTATGCAAATACTACCAAAAATCATTATGAAATACACACCACTCAGCTATACTACTGATCCAAAGTAAAAGTATACTAAGAAAAAAATATTGAGTAAAAAATCAAAGCGAGGTTTCTATAATTTGAGGGACTCTGCGCATAGGCTTCTGGAATGGTACACAATAAATGATGAGGTCGAAAAGCAAGAAATGAATTTATTTCAACTAACTGTAAACAATATTAGACTTGATAGAGAGAAGCACAGAAGAGGACCAGTACACTAGCTAGTACCTGAATTTTCACAGTACGGTTGCGTATCTTTAAAAATTCTTTTCTCCCTTTCCAGCCACGATACTTATGCTGGATCCTCATAGCAGCAGAGTGCAAATAGTTCTGGAAGTGACTCATCTTTTGGCCCTTGTTCAAAGAACCAAGGGTAACAAGGTCAACTGATACATCAGGAACCTCATTGCTACTCTCAGTAAATTGTCGATGTCGAAATGAACGAGACCTAAAAGCCGCTTGAATTAGTGCAGCTGCATGAGCCGATTTTCTGACAGCCGCAAGAGAGCCTCTCAAGGAAAGTTCCTCATCTATTGCCCTATCTAATGGAACAGCATCTTGTGCAGCAGTCTTGAGGGCATTTTCTGCCACAATTGTAGCAGCAGCACTGTCCATATCATTTTCATTGACAGTCAGTGACGAAAGATGAGCGGTTAGATCTGCTTCTGCCAAATATCCAGCAATCCCTTTATAACCTCTACTTGACGCCAAATCTGCAGCTGTCTGTCCTCCAGGAAATGCTGATGTTGGGTCGTCAACAGCACCAGGAGCTACACCAAGTCCGATAAGTGCAATGACCGTTTCCTCTCTGCAGTAAATCAAGAATATTATTTAGCAAAGCACATTAGCGAATAAATTAGTATTATTTTTAATGAAAGTAATTTAATACACAAAGATACAAGATGTATAATTAGGGTGACCGAAACAGTATGATGAGATTTGGAAATGAATTTTTTGGTGTCTTCTATTGATGCCCATAAACTTGAGATATTGCCCAGAACTTATCATAAGCCCACAAGAGAAGAATAATAACAAAAATACGTCCTGGTAAGCTTCTGCAGTCCCTGCAAACAAGTTTGCAAATCAAAGGTTGTGAAGTATTTCAGGATTTGACCAGCAACTCAGTTTACAAGCCCTCTAGAAGAAGGTGAAGACTACAGAGTACACGCTACTGTGAGAAAATTCAGGTTAGCTCTTTGCCATCATCCGATGGCAAGGGGAGTGTGTATTTTGTTATCTTCTGCTTCAAATTAAGCTAGGACCCACTGAAATCTCAGTAACTTTATGCACTACTTTCTTCCAACAGTTTCTTGGCACCTAAGGCGAGATGTCTACTCATAAATATTTGCCACTCAGTGAAGAGATGAATTTAAAACAAGTAGGTTTCATGCCAACTTCCACTAAGGCGACTTAATACAAAGCATAAAAATCCCTATCCTTTTAAAGGGTGTAACCTTAAGGTCTAAAAAGCATGTTAAGGGTTGTAAGTTATACGGTCTAAAAAGCAAGCATATGCATACTTTTTGAGGAATTTCATTAACTTTTGCCCTTGGCTGCGGGGGTATTCACATTTGGCATATGCCTGCTCTGCCATCTACACTAACAATCCATCCTTACCCCCCAAAGGTCAACTCAACATCTGTCACTAACAAACTCGAGAAAGCATCACCCCCAACCCTATAAAAAAAAGGCTTCCAACTCTAAGATTGAGATAACTAAACAAGCTTCCAAACTTCAACAGTAACTATTGGCACATTGTTACTCCTCGCCATGTTCACTTTTAGACCATAAATACATCAACAAATTAGTGTATTTCCCAAATGACACCATGAAATACAATGATTTATGCATTAGAGGAAATCCAGAAAGCTCCATCGAAGAGGCAGTGTTGATTAACAAGGCTACACCTGCCTACTAGATTAAACTCCTACCAATATGCATTTATAACTCACTGACATCAAACAAAACAAAAACCTTAGTTATGAGCTTATTATGAATTCACAGAAATGCTATCAGAAACCCAATATGCATATTACAGATAGCACCAAATAAATGAATAAACGCAAACCTAAAGAGTGTTCTATTCTCACTACAGAGGACCATATATTGACCACAAGTATATTGAGAATATTTTAGAGAACTTGTTTATTAATCTGACCTTCCATAATATGCTGCACAGTGAAGAGCCGTCCTCCCTCGTACATCTCTGAAATTCAGGCCAACACCTGCGGCAACTATGGGGCCCATGGCCCAATCATAACCAAGGGCAGCTGCTAAGTGAATGACCCCTTGGCCATCATCATCCAAAATCTGTGGTCCTTTACTGCCTTCATGTGCTTTACAGACTAGCCACTCATATAATTTGTCCTTCAGGAGATTCTGAATCAACACATCACTAAGCTTAACACATTTTTCTTCAACCTTCGCAAGAACCTCCTTGTACCTTCCCCAGTCATTGTCACAGTCACTTTTCAATGAGAATATATCAGTCTTCACTTTACATTTATCACATTTCACAACAGAGCAATTTACCCATTTCCTATCCAGGCCTAACCATAGCAATTTTGCGAGCCATATCTGATTACGCACTTCATCTTCTGGTGCACTTCTACAAGCCAGAGAAAATGCTACTGCTGATGGTTTTTCACGAAATTCAAACTCCCGCACCTCACTGCAGGCGAGCCTATTACTGCACGTGACATAAAAGGGAACTCGTCCAGGAGAATGAAAAGGAATTTGGCATCGGATGACATTGTCATTCAGAACATCAGCAGAGACCTCAATTTCACCAAACATAAAACACCATTTATGAGCATTAGAATGTCTCTCGTCTCCCAAAAAAGTACCTGTGATTAATACCTGAGAAAAAACAACCATCACGGACCAACATCATTCACATTTGAAATTAATGCAAGAAATGTTTACGTAATTTTTATGAAGCAAGAGCAAAAAAGTACTAGAATCAGACATGCATACCTTCGTTTCAACTCCTGAATAAGCCCAATCAGGTGCAAAATCACATATGCTGAAAAGCTGCTCTTGAGAAAGAGAAGGGCCCAAAGAATCAGTATCGAACCGCATGTGATGTGAAAGACTAGAAACTTCCTTATCATCATTGTCAGTATCAAGTGTGCTCCAGTAATTTCCTGAGTCAGAGGCCATCAATGAATCATCACAATCTCCACCAATTTCTTTATTCATCCATCTGCCAAAGCTGTCAAGTTTTTTCAGCTCTCCAGCATCTTCATTATTAGAACCTCCTACTTGAGAACTGTTTTTAGTTTTGGTAGGAGAGGCGACTATTGCTTGCAGGTCAGAATAGTTCTGAAAATGAGGTTGATATAAATGGAAATCACATTTCTGGGGCACTGTAAGAGAACATCAGTGTAAAAGACATGCTAGAAAACGATAGGCCTTTTTTGGCGATCTTTTGACTACAAAATGATGATCTGCTAATTCTATACATAAGGTGCAACGGAGGTAGGTCACCTTGAAAAACCCAATGACAATTATTTTGGAAGAATAGTGGAATCATGCAATTTCAATAAATTGATGTTATAACAATTGCAACAATCATGACAACAGAAAACCAGAAAACAATAAAACATATATAGTAACATAAGATTCAGGCACCATTGAACTGATAAAGTTCCTAAAAACAGGGACTCTGAGCTGTATAAGCTCAAAGAATGATGAAGATAAAAACCACTCAAACTATCCAGTTCACAATAGAAGTTGTAAATCTGCGAGGGTTACAACTTCTCTTTGACTACGTTCCTCCTACAAACTCATAAAACATATAGAGAAATATCAAGATGCCCAAGCATATATGATTTTTATTTTCGGAACTGAAGTAATATGTTATACAAAACACCTAGGTGATGGATAATGAATTGTTGTTGCTACTTTTGTTCTTTTTCAGCTTGGCAAGGGAGATGCCAGAATTGTTGAAAGACATGATCAATGGCTACTATTTTCTTGGAAACACGGGGAGAACAAGAATTGGGAGTTTGTAAATTTTATGCTTGAGCCGGTGCATCTAATGAGAGGAATCCCAGAGCTATTGTGGGGGTGGAGTAGTCCATTGTGCTGCTAAAGAGCTTCATGTGACACTTTTTGTGGCCAGTTGGAGGGTTAGCTAGAGAATTTAGATTTCTTTGTCAATTTCTGGGAGATACACATTTAATTTAGAAAACAGCAGTGACGATATACTCTTCGTAACACTTCTGTTACGAGGGTTGTCATATGGTTCAAAGTATAGGCTGATCTGATGCAATCCATAAGATACTCAAGGAAACGTAAATTCGAAGATGTGAAAGACTATGAAATTGGTTTTTCATCGAGACAAAGATCCATATGGAACTTGCATTATATTGTTTTGAGCCTTATTTTAAATTAGTTTAAGTCAATTTGCTAGTATTAGTATTTTATGTCATTTTAATAGTTTTTAGACTCAAGGTTATTTTTGTAATTTTTAGAATTTCTAAAATTGGTCATAATCTGACCCGTGGGTCGTCTTTTGGGTCAAACTCAAATATTGAATATGCTAGAATTTAGAGTCCTAATTATAGTTTGTTTTAGTTTTCTAATATTTAGTCATATAGAGTTTTAGAGTCCTAGAACCATTGGAATCCTAATCTTTTAAGAGTAGGAGTATTTTGAACCAAGGATCAAGGGCGTGTTTGGTTTGGTTTTTAAAAACTGTTTTCTGTTCTCAAAACTCTAAAAACAAGGAGATGTTGTTTGTTTTTGTTCTCCAATTTTTTAAAAATTTTGGAAAATGAGATGTGATTTTAGAGAAGAATAAAATGATATTCTCATTGTGTTCTAAGGCAAAATGAAAACAAGGGAAACAACCTATCTTTAGATTAATAAGGTCTCACCTTCAAGTTTCATTGGAGACAAAAAAGAGAGACTCCCTCCACCGTCTCCACCGCCTCACTGCCTCGACTACCTCCACTGCCTTACTCACTGAGCTGCCTCCATCGCCTTTACCGCCTCACTACCTCCACCACCTCACTGAGCTACCTCCACTGCCTCACAAAAAAGAGATAACAGATCTAAGTAGCCTCTTTCTCTCTCTTTCGCAACTTCTTCTCCACCTCACTTTGCGTTGTGGGTGGTTGCGGGTTTTTGGGTGGCTCTGGGTTCGGTGGTTGTTTTTTGGGTGGTTCAGTAGTGTTTTTTTTGNAAAAAAGAGATAACAGATCTAAGTAGCCTCTTTCTCTCTCTTTCGCAACTTCTTCTCTACCTCACTTTGCGTTGTGGGTGGTTGCGGGTTTTTGGGTGGCTCTGGGTTCGGTGGTTGTTTTTTGGGTGGTTCAGTAGTGTTTTTTTTGGGGTGATTTTGGGTGGTTCAATGGTGTTTTTTGGGTGGTTGTGAATTTTTGGGTGGTGAAAAAGATATAGACAGAGAGTTAAAGAGAGAGAGAGAGAGATAGAGTTGAAGGAGAGGTGAAAATTGTGGATTATTGTCCAAATAAATTTTATAAATTANGAATTTTTGGGTGGTGAAAAAGATATAGACAGAGAGTTAAAGAGAGAGAGAGAGAGAGAGAGAGAGAGAGAGAGAGAGAGATAGAGTTGAAGGAGAGGTGAAAATTGTGGATTATTGTCCAAATAAATTTTATAAATTGTTTTTTAAAATTATTTTCAAAAATATATAACCAACCAGTTTTTGCAATCTAAAAATTTTTAAAAACACTTTCTTAAAACTCTTCCCAAAAATAGTTTTCAGATATTGTTTTTTGAGATGTAAACCAAACAGGCCCCAAATTTTTGTTTCGGTGTTTTGTTTCAGTCACCTAAAAAATGAAAACGTTTTAACGTATTTCAAAAACGTTTTAACCCGTTTCGGAAAAAAAATTAAAAAATTAAGAATTATTTTTTCAAAAACACTAATCAAAATATACTAAAATACCTTGAAATACCTTGAAACATTCTGAAATAATTATGAAAATGCATTGAAATATAACAAAATATTTCAAAATATTATGAAACACTTCAAAGTATTAAAATTTCGATTCCATCACTGATTCGTTTCGGTATCTTTGAAAACGGAAACGTTTCGGATATTTTAACCGTTTCGAAACAATATTTTAATCCTTGCTAAGAACTCTATATAAAGTTAGTGATATTTTTAATAAAAGATGAAGAGAGAAATTTCAATAATTATGTGCTTTTTGAGTTGTGTGATGCGTGTGATGCAATTCTAACCGCCAAGTGTAATGCCTAAGAAGCCCTAGGAGTGATTCCCAGTCAATATTACTATTCACATCACAGTTCACAGCCTATCACTGTTCATGAATACTGTTCACAGCCATAAACAGTCCCAATTTTGATTTTGCATGGCTATCCTACATCAATGAGCCTCATGTGACTCGACTAAGTCATCCAACACATCTCCGAGTTGTCTAATTAATCGTCACCAAATCGGCCAAAACCATTATACGACGTCGCAATTTGAGTTAAATCTCTCGCATATACAACTTCTATTATGTACTATTTGATGCGTATTGCCCAATACTATTATACAATACCGTGATCAAATTGTCTCAGTACCCTCTGAACCGATGATTAACTGATACCTTAATGTTGAACCATGGGTTGCCCCTATTCTACTTCATTTGGCTCCAACTATGATAATTGTGAGTACCAAGAAAGGAAATCACCTAGTTTAATAGATTTTAAGAACTTAGAAGCCACAAATATGGTTGCAAAAAACTTTAAGCATTCTTACGAAGAAGCCACCTCCTTTGCCCGACTTGCTTTTTCCCATACTCGTCCCATGTAGCATGGCGATAATAGCCACCACCACTATTGAGCGACTGTTGCAGTCTCGATACTCTTACTCCGACTTACAGCCATCAATGTACGCCATCTCATATGTATCCTCCTAGTTTTTTAGTGAAAATCTAGTAAGGTTAGCTTAATCTCGTACACCCACTGAAAATGGTTACCGGACAAAGTTGGTCCTTTATTGATAAGGAAATCGAGTTGCTCACCTGCTATAGTACTTCAGCTCGAGCATGGTTTTTCTACGGACAACAAGTGTTCATTATTAAGGACTCAGAACGTATGTCCAAAGTTGCCACATTATTGTCAACTTGGTCTTGCACCAGTTACTGGAGACTAGGAAAAGACGTGTATTTGTCATAGGTAACTATGTCAATCAGAGGCTCTTAAAATCGATCCATGATTGGTTGGCGGAGGTTCTTAAGACAATCCCAATGGATGGGATGTTTAATTAAGAACAACCTCTTAATAGGCTAGTTGGTAACCGTGTAGTTTATTCATTTGACTTAACAGCAAGCATAATTCGAGAAGCAGCTCGCTAAAGTGATTGAACTTTCGTTACTATTGTCAACCATCCCGTCATTCTGAAGGAATATAGTAAGGGATAACCTTTTCGGTAGCTTCTTACCCGGCCCTACATTCCTAACTTTAGAAATGAATGAGATAAGGGTTGACTGCTCCTACCTTTCCTAACCCCCAGGGTGCCAAACCCTCTGTTTTCTCGCTTGTTCACTGATGGCACTTCCACAAACCAGCACTAGAACTAGCTCCGTAACTAGAACTAGAACATACGTGTCCTCTTTCTCTTGCTCTAGGTCCAATCCCTTAAAGTAGTTACCTTCAAATCAATATAAAGGTAGATTGTTTCCGTTTATTCCAATCCATAGCCTCACACTCTTTCCTTTTTGGTGAAAATGCAATAAAGAAATATAATTCTGGGGTACTCTTCACATGGCTGAAATTCCATCCATAGGGAAGAGAAGGCCATGGTCGAAGCATTAACTGAAAGATGCACTTGGCCATGGAAAGGGGAGAGGCATGGTGGCCCCCTTAATTTGAGCTAACTTATTCCAATTTGAAAGCGGTGGCGGCGATGCTTTGTAGAAGCTAGTGGGCCATCTAAAAGAAGAAGTCTGTGACCCCCAAGCTCCCTTGTTGGAAATCCTCGGCAATTTGGTTATGCAATGGATTCTTTGTGCATGTACAAATGCTCCCATCCAGCACATCTAGCGGTTGACACCCTTGATGCAGTATCACCTTCTTGAGGATTTGCACTTTCCTGGATAACTATGTGTCTATCCAAAATATATGCATAGGATATTTGTATTCAGCTCAATCCTTTTAGTTAATTTGACATCTCAAGTGTAATTAACTTCAAATCAGCACATCGGTTCATGCATCCAACCCCAACCTACCCTTGCCCCACCACCTCCTTCCCTTAACCACTATGATATGGCCTGAACGTAGAATTTCTTGTGTCACATCCGATAAAAATCTACGACCACGCGAATGAAGCGTCTTAATGCCCGATGATCGATACTTCAAGCTTAAACCATGAATTGTGATTTGTGCCCTTCTCGCCTCTTCTTCTTTTGGCACCTACTAATAATAATTGTACGTAAGCAGAACTGAAACAACCTAGTTTAACAGATTTTAAAACCTTTGAAGCCACAAATATGCCAGCAAGCATCTTCAAACATTGTTATAAATTATTCATTTAACATTGCTAGTGTGATTAACTTCCAATCAGCACATGGTTAAACGCACAACATCCCATCCATCCTACCCCCCCCCCTCCCTAAAAAAAACCCACCTTTTAGAAACCCAAAGAAAAAGTGAAAACAAAATCAAAATGGTCTTCCCCCATTGTTGATCACTCGTACACACGAGTACTACAAAACTCAAGCCTAAGTTACTCCTTTTAATGAAGGAACAACTAATCTTCTTCAGACCGGACTATTCATCCTACTTTCTAGCCGAAAAATTTAAGTACCAACATCCTATGAATGTATAATGCCTGACTCCACCATATCCGATCTCGATTACCTTCTTTGATCACCCTTTCAACCAGTTTTTTTTTTTGGGGGAGGGGGGGTGGTTCAGGAGGACCATTGCAGTGGCAGAATTGCAGACGAAAAATAGAAAAAATCTATTGCCTAGCCTCTCAGGCCTTTAAATAAGTTTTATACAACATTGGGACCTCTTGGATTCTTTCCTCTTCTAACAATATATCCAACCGATAAATAAAGTTATCCAAGAAAAACAAAAATGAAGAGAAGAAAGCAGCAGAACATTTCAGAAATACACTGGACAACAGAAAACATACCTGAACTACTCTCGGAGCTTCAGGAACCAACCCATCTCCACAGATTACATCTTGAATAGTGTTATTGGCATACAATCCGGTATCTCTTGGCTTATGAGATAAAAGATCAGCTGTGCTTAGCTCCTCAAAGTTGTTGACAATATTAGGATTTCTGCTTGAGCCATGAACATCAGACCATATTGAGGAGCTAGTGCCAGGATCAAAACTAATTCCAGCAAAGTCTGAACTAAGACGATTCCTCGACATCTCCAAAAATCCTGAAAAGCATCAACACTCCCCTATTTAATACTAGAACATTACCTACTATGTCCCGTGGACAGACAAAACAGAAACAAACACATGGAATGTATGAATAGCTGAAATAAATTTGAAAGAGAAGACGTGTTAGATTAGCCAGATAATGTTACAACACTAGGTTTTTAAATTCAAGGGTTACCATTTTGTTGAGCATTGGTTGCCCACCCTCGAGGACATTGCTGGCTGTGACTTTCGTTTTTCGTGCAGTTTAAGTTTTATTTTTAGATAAAAAAGGTCGTACATAGCTTTGGGAGACATAGGTGGTAAGCAGTCTTACCCCATTCTGGAAAAACTGAATCCCGGACTCAAACACGCAACTTAGTGCTTGGGCCGATGAGCAGTTGCAATGGGTCCAATTCCAACCTCTTATTTTGATATCATGATATATCAAGATAATTGCATCATCTTTCCTTTTTTTTTTTTGCAAAAAAACCATGACACCAACCCCAACCCTAAAAAAAGGGAAAAAAAATCTTTCTGCTTCCCCACAATCACCATCTAAGATGAGGAAGATCTGCTAAGTAATTTTATAAGTGGGAAGAGAGAGATCAATATATTGCCATGACAAGATCAAGATACAGCATAAAAATGTTGCAATCCAAATTTTACCTGTGGTTTCAGCTGTACGAAAAGAAGTCTCAAGAGAGACAGAACCATGCATTGGCTGAACAAGAGAAGTGGCTCGTGGATCTTCTCCAGAATCCTTATCCTCAAACTCTGTAGACAAGGTTTGCTCATTCCAATCAAATGCATTTGGACTTGATGACGTTGTACCTGTGGGACTAGGAGAATGAGATTGTTCCAAGCAAGCTGCAGAACTAGTCTGAGGACTTCCAAGTTGTGATCCAGGATCTGCATTTAGCAAACGGGATACACTATGTTTGTAGCCCTGCATAATATGCATTACGAAATACACTCAACAATCTATTCTAGAGAGAGAGCATAAGTTGCAGAGTTGGATTTTTGTAGAAGCAACTTTAAATGTTGATGAAAATGAAAAGAAGAAAGTTTTAGCAAACAGCAAATAAAGGGGTAAACATGTGCAACTTTCCAGGAATTTGATATAAATCAAGTGGTGTAAGACACAATCAGCACTCATTTTGTGACATCACTACACTGGCAAACATGTGCAACTTTAAATGCTCAGCCAAATGACTTCACAACATTTGGGTCACATTCTATACACACAAAAAAAAAAAAAATTGATCAAAAGATTCCCTAATAGTTTCACAAAGCACGAGCTACAGTGTACAATCTGCTTCAAAATCTCCCCCACTAAATCAACATTGTAGGATCAATCAGCTCGATGTGCACATATGTACATTACATATTGATATAGCAATCAAGTGGCTAAAACTTGTGAAATTCGAGCTGGATATCGAATATATAAGATACAAAAATTTAAATTAGCATTTACAGCATCACCAAGTAGGCACATAGCCATTTTTATGACAAGTGCTCATATATGTGCCAGTGTGCAAGTCTGTCTTAAACAACACATGCAGTCATAAATGTGCAAATAAGTACAGGAGCTTGTGCATGCATATACAAAATTGGAAATGTCCTATTAGCTACATTCTCAATTGTATAAATGCAATTTCCTTTATGTGAGCTGAGGGAGTGAAAGAATTTTATATAATTCCAACAACTAACATAGTATATGACCTCATTGCAAAACTTCAAGAGGAATAATACCTCTTTCACTTCTCTGTAATGCACAAGAACAATGTGCTCCAACTGCCTGAAACAAATACAAATGAAGCAAATACTTACGAATAAATCTTAAAACCACTAAGAATGTTGCAAATCTTTACCATAGCACATATTTTCTTTCTTTCCTTTCCTTTCCCCCTTTCCTTCCCAATCTGGTTTTTTATAATTTTTTTCCTTTTGGGAGAAAGTGTGTTGTTTTGGGTTGTAGAGGGGAAAAGGATTGCCTTGATGCTGGATCTGGGTAATGCATATGTAGTCAACCATCAAATAATCCATGGAAATTAACTAAATCTTCAGATATCATCTAGCAACATTTTAGTACTTAAAAAATGGTAAATTACCCAGACACCTAGGCCTATTAATGGATTAAATTCCAATCCAAATCCATTTGGAATCCAAATAACCAGCTATGAATTGATATTTCTCAGCAATTCTGAATTTGAACCCGAATCCGAATACGTTTATGGCTACTTCCATGGAACGGATACGGATATACCAGAATCTAATTCGATTATATCCTCCCAAGCATGTTTAAAATTGCACAAGAAGTCCAATCTCCTACTTCTTGCCTTCCTGCACTTGAATATGTGGCATTAAAACATTTCTGCTATCCTACATTGCAAGAATCTAAAGTGAACTTGTGCTCAACATTTAACTGGACCCAATTTCTCTTGTATCGACAAGATGTGTCCCATTTTGCGTGAGTGATTGCCTTGTGTGCCGGCCGATCTATTTGTGCACGAGAAGGGGAGGGGAGGTTCTCAGCCTTTAGTTTGTTGAACACAGAATGAGAGAAGGGGGGAGGACATAAAACTAGGCAGAGCAGGATATTTGAAGACGGGAAAGGAAAAGATGAGAAGGAGAAGAGACCGTTCCTCATTCTTCTTTTGTTTACTTCTGAATTTTCTCCTCCTATAATCTTGGGCATCTGAAAAGCTTTTCATGCAAGAGCTAGATCTATTGAAGTCAGGCCTTGATGACAACAACCCAGTTCCCAAATTCTCTGAAACTTAATAGTTAATAACTTTCAATCATATGCTTTCACTTTGATTGTTTTGCCATGGCTCACTCAAATAGTACTCTCTACATAAGGCTCTTTCCAGCTATATGATATATTCTTCTGTAACATCCACAATTCTATGTTGCAGATTGTCATTCAGTCCACTAGTAAGGCCAATGGCTTTGATTGTTCTAGCTTTTTAATGCTCTAAACTGCAATCAAGCTGATAATAATGTTGATAGCTTCTTGGTGGTGGAGATGAATGATTGAATCTGTTAAGTCAATTATGAGACAAGTTGTAAGTTCATGTGTAGGGATGATAAACGGATCAGATCGGATTTTCAGAAGTTAATGTGTTCGGATATAGATTAAACTTTTTAAATCCATAAAAAAAAAGGGATCTGATCAAATGGAGGTAATTGTAGTCGGATTCAGACATGAAACAGTCAAATCCATATCTAATCTGTGTACAATGACAAGGCTACTCAAACATCCTAAGTTTGGTTAAACAACACCGACATTTCCAAACATTTGAGAAAAAGACATGGCAACTCCTTTATTTTGGTGTGTCCCAACAGATACACCACCATGCACACCGGTATGATGAATATATGAGTTTTGGTTATTCCACGCGATCATGTTGCATTACTCGTCCAACCATATTCTGGTTTCCGGAGAGATATTTAGGATTGTACAATTTTGGCTATATTTTAGGTGGCATCGATGAAGAGAGATAATATGACATAATTTTTTTAAGGAAGAGTTGATGATGTGGTGTTGTGACAGGATAGGCATCTCTATGGACTGTGATGACCAAGGAGTTTCACCATATTTCCTTTTTGTTGCTTCAGCATAATTAAAAAGCTGTTTGTAATTGATGGAATGTATTTGGCAATTTTCATTGCAATTTCACTTGCATATAGGTTGGATATGTTAGGCACATTCACAAATCAAAACTTTCTACGAAATGAAACTCTTTGTTTCTTCTCAGATTTGCCTCTATTCCTATTTTCGTTGACTTCTTGCTTTTTACGAGGTTAAATAAAGGATAAAGTAGTCATTACCCCCACAAAGTTCATGACCTTGGCTTAAGAGCCCTTCTTTGGGTAGCTGTGTCATTTCTTAAATATCCCATATGTCACAACTCAAAGAGTGTCATTATAGTTTACTCTTTCATAAATTTAAGGGGGGTGGGGGGAGCAACACCTGCTCTTGTTGCTGATGTTTACTCGTCCCCTCAGGTACTTGGGGGCACTAAGAGGAGTTAAAAACACTTCAAACAGAAACAAAGCAGCAACACTCACTCATCAAGCATCCAATAACTTCGTCTCTGAAAGTTCTCATTCTCCTCTCCATGGGCATAGTAGCAATGGAGAACATCCACGCTGCCTGCCTATAAAAGCCAGACAAAAATTAATAAGAAAGAAAAAGAAAATAGGGCAATGAATGGCGCAACACAAATTTAAACAACATTAACCTTACGCGAATAACATTGTTGGACTTGGACCAATGCTACAGTCTACCAATTGCAAAATACACAATTTTCACAAGAACTGCATGAATATGTAACTAGCTAACAACTTCAAACAGGTAATATGATAATGTGCAAATGAAACAAATTGAACCAGGAATTTACTACAACACACATGCGACATCCACTAAAATAGACAATCTAAGCGCCTAGCAAACTATAAATCCCAGGAGAAGCACAACCATGGTGATGTCAGAGAAAAATCATCTACTCTTTTACCTTCATAAAACCTGTAGATATCTGTAAAAAACCCCAGAGATGGCTAGAAGTGTCAACTACAATATCTTTGAATTACCAAATTTAACATAACTACCCATAATTTATTCCTCCACTTCATAGATCACATGGTTAATAACAATATAGGATCAAAACCCAACAGTAGTTCCAGGCTAAGGAATTGAAAGATGAGTTGCCACTGGACCATCTGAATTATCCAGCTAAACCACTCTAAGGTATAGAAAATTTGTCTCAACATATTATACAGCCTAACATTCTCTGTTCCCAATAAACTTGGAACTTTATAATCCTATCAGTGAAACATCCCAAATATTCACCAATTGATATATTGAACAGTAAAGCAAAATATCAACAGAAGCCAAATAGCACCCGGTAGAAGACTAATCTACCACTACCAAGAGATAAATGGTGCAGCAACAAATGACAACAGCTTGGGAAACTTCGACTACGATGTTTACCACTAAAAATAAAAAGGAGAACTTACAACTAACAGAATGAACAACACACCTTCAACTTTTCGTGAGCTTCTTTGACAGTTTTCCCATCTTTTTTCTTCCTCCAACGATGGCCATCTTTACGAAAATATCGCAGTAATTTTCGATCAAACAAATACAAGGAACCAGCTGAAAAACAAACAACATTCAATAGTTTGCAAGAATGAATAGGCAGTGCCAATGCTCCATCTTTCAGAATGTTAGTGAAGAACTACTGATGTAAATGTCTGTAGTAGCGAAATTGAAAATTTTCATGTAAGCCTATAAAAATCAAGACAGGAACTCTATGGTGCAATGAGAACAAAACCATGATGAACTATATTGGCGAGTAATCAATAATTTCATGACTGTCCTGTACTCATGAAAAATTATAGTCGCATGAAAGAAATCTTCCATGTTTCAATTTTTAATTGAAAATGTATGAATGCTGCTGCAACAACAGAAACATTCTAACATATGTTATAATGTTCTAACCTAATACTAGGCCTATTATAGTGAAACCAATGAAATCCATACCATCAACAGATAATATATATCATCAAGCTATCAAAAAAGAAGATAGTAGCTCTATTCTTGATCTGATCACAAGGACTGGAAAGGACTCAGCTGAGATAAGCACAAAATCTTGCAATTTGAGCTTGATTTGGCTAAACAAAAGAATGTTCAGTTTGAGGCTCAACTCATGCTCAAGGTGAGACAGGATTTTATATGAACTTTGCATTGGACATATCCCAAGCCATTCAAACTCCACTAGATATGTAAGTAGGCTCTTAAAACATGCCATAAGTATAACATTTTTCGCTGTAACGAAAAATTCGATGGGTTAAAGCATGAAAGAGATAAAAATATGATCCAAGACAAAAGGTGTTAGAAACAAACATGAATCCAAGAGAAAAAAGGTGTAAGAAACGTGATGTCAGTAACAGATTCAGGCTAACTGATTCGTTGCGTTTCTATACCGTATTCAACTCTTTTCTCTACTAAGAAATGGGTATCTGCTGCCAGATCAAATACCCTTGAATCGTCATGGAAATGATGGAAATCACAAAACCAAAGGCAAGCAAATATTATGCTAGCCATCACAATATAGTTCATGTAACCAATCACATGAGACACACCACATTTTTGTGCAACAATATAGTATTCCTTTCCCTACAAGCCTTCTTTATCAAACACTGATGTACAATATCATTAAACAAGAACATAAAAAGAAAATGGTGTCAGTGAGAACCTGGTGGCCTGACAGGTGACTCTGGTGTTATGTAGAACTTTTGGTAGTGGCGTAGTATTTCGCAAATTTCTGCTGGACGAAGCCAGCGATGCTGTGCTTCTTGCACTATCTGCTTATGGTCTGCCAAAGATCCAAGCTTTAGACGTCTAACAACACAAAAGGGGAAGAACTTCAGAGCACCCGTAAATATATCAAAAAATGTGAGTGATTTCAGACTGAATACAACATTCGCACCACCACACCTCGGTTTATAATTTTTCATACAACTACAAAAAATTATTTCCCGTTGATACTACTCTAGCCCACTTCATGCCTGCCGATATAACAAAGTGATTGCACAAATATAAAGATCTTGACATCAATATAATTATTGTATTAGACGCACAAAGTTAATTAAAAAGAAAGGGACATTTCCAACTAAAAGAATCAAGATTAATAAACTAGGGTTAAACTTAATTGATGTAAATGCATACAAATATAATAGACACAAGCATAGATATCTACATGTACAGAAAAGTGCAGAAAAGGAGAAAGGCTTGCCTAACGGTTGATTGGGAACGGAACGTCTGGTCTCAGCCATCCAAAAGAAAAAGAACCTCGAACAAAACCCTAATTCTCATCAGCGAAGCTCCGATTGTGATGGTGAAGAACCAAGATAGAGTACGTAGTCTGCACATACATAACAATAAGAGGGAAAACCAAAAAAAAAAAAGTTATAGCATAGAGAATGTGAAATAAAAGGAAGATTTGGTACATGACAAATGTTAAAAGGATTGAGTGGTGAATCGCGTATTCGAGTGAAGTAGAACAAAGCCCCAACGGCAAAAGCCTCCCTGAGACACAGGCGGATTGGGAGCCGCGTATAGAAGAAAGAGATACTTTGACTTGTGACCACACCAAAGCAGAGCACACGGAGATTTTGGATTTTCCTCTAGTATCCGACGTGGCATGTGCTGACTGGAATTCCTATCTAGATTCCTATCTTTAATCTAGGGTCCAATTCGAGGGCGTTACAGAAGTAGAGTTTTGTGAGTTTTTTTAAAAGAATGAGTTAAAAAAATTATTTAATTAATTTATATATAAATAAGTTAAATTTTGTAAATTTAAATTAAATTAAAAAAATTATTTAATTTCAACTCGTTGAACGAGTAGAGCTGAGTCTTATCAAAGCTCAACCCAACTAACTTGTTTCAATTAATACACTTATTTAATTCTATACAATTATTGTGTTTCACATTATTTTAAATTAAATATATATATATTATTCATATTACCTAAATTAGGAACCTAAATTGCATTTTCTTCATTTTTTTGTATGGACGNATTTAATTCTATACAATTATTGTGTTTCACATTATTTTAAATTAAATATATATATATATTATTCATATTACCTAAATTAGGAACCTAAATTGCATTTTCTTCATTTTTTTGTATGGACGCTAGATTACATTGGATAATGTATTTTTAAGTACTTATGGTAGATCAAAAAATAATTTCCTAAATAACTCTTCTTTTGCTACAATGAAGAATTAATCCGAACAAATATTTTGAAGGAAAAGAAATAGGAAAAATAAGAAGGAAAATGTTTCAACTGACAAAAAAAAATGAAATAAATACTCTTGAGAGAATATTAAAAGTTGTTTTTTTTTTAAAAAAAATCTTAAGTGAAAAAAAGTGTGAGCTTGTGTTGTTGGATAACTTGATATCAAATTAAGTTTTCCATTTATCAAACTCTCTTTATTGGTCACCAACTTACCTCCTCTGTCATTCTGACTGCCTTGGGAAGAGGGTTTGATAATTCAAAACTACCCTCACCTATGATGTGGTGNTCTTAAGTGAAAAAAAGTGTGAGCTTGTGTTGTTGGATAACTTGATATCAAATTAAGTTTTCCATTTATCAAACTCTCTTTATTGGTCACCAACTTACCTCCTTTGTCATTCTGACTACCTTGGGAAGAGGGTTTGATAATTCAAAACTACCCTCACCTATGATGTGGTGATAACATTCTTGACTTTTCTAAGAATTTTACCATTTATTATAGTCCAAGTCCCAAGGTAGTCGCCAATACCTCGGCAAAGCAGAGGACCCGATGCCGAGGACACGTGTTGGGTGGAGATCTCTTTGGGGAAACCTTGGGAGCCGAGGATAGGTATCACGTGATGAAAATTCTAAGGCGCCTTTGGTGTCGAGGACACGTGTCACTCACAGATAAAGTCGAGGGGTCGCTCATGCCGAGGGATTCGCCATTAAGGCAACACAAAATATAGTTTTCTTCAGAGTCATTATAGTTACACGAGATAGAGAGTTGCAATGAAGAAAATGTGGGGGAAAACAACAACTATTAAAATCAACAATAAGCAAAAACATGATAATGATGTAAACGCAAATTTAGTAACAAGTAACTTTCAGGGCCATAAACATAGAAGTGTCAAAAAATTTGCAAGACACAAGACACAAGAATTAACAAATACTAATAAAAAGAATTATGACTTAAAACCATGAGTTAACTAGATGAGGACCTCAAATAATCTAGAGTGGTAGAACAGGTTCAAATCAAACCCATGGCTCTAATTTTTTAGTTTTTAAGCACTACAATAGGTAGAATTTGATCATATCAAATAAGACTTATTTTGCGATAAAATAGTTCATAGCAAACATAGAATTGGAAGGCCAAACAATTAGTATACTCATCAGTATCAAAAGTTTCCACAGTTGGCATCTTGAACTTGGGGGGGGGGGGGGGGGAAGGGTGAATTAGGTTGTGTTTTCAAAAACTTAAAAATAAAATTACTNAGCTATAAAGGGTGTGTTAGTACGCCTCACAAGATATTCGATCGTTTCAGGTCCTTGCGCCTTCATGACAATGGAGATGTCGCCGGGTTGGTTATGCATTTCTTTGATTTTTTTGTCCTAGTGGTTGGGAGAATGGGTCGCTATAATGGTTCTCATGGTTCACATACTGATTTTCTTGGAAATGAGGGTCACCAACATTAAAGAACGGAGCAAGCATGCACAAAGGGGGAGCGAGGGTGCCTTACTGGGCGCTAGTACCTTGGCGCCCTAGGCGAGGTACTTGGAGTGTTTCCCCTCCTGGGTACTGGGCATGACTCCTTGAGGATGTCTAACGAGCATCAATTGGAGGATCAATTGATTTTAATTTATCAACAGTTGCATTGTCTCCATTAATTATTGTTCGATTACGGGATTTGCTGCAGCAACGGGGTTTGTTGGCAGAGGCGAGACCTTGTCTCGACGTGATGGATCATTGTCTTTTGTTTGTTGATTTATGGACCTAATTGTAATAGTCATAAAATAGAAAAAATAAGTATGAAGAAATAGAAAGACAATAGAAAATTTAGTCATTTTTCACATACGGAGCTAAACTGATGACGCACAAAAGTGAATTTGTATACCACCTATTAAGTATTAATGCAATAATAAATAATGAGAGTCATCACAAGCAAAATACAATTTATATAGTTCAGTCAGGGTGATTTATTCCACTGTGAAAGACTAGGATAACCTGAGTGTTTTATTGCTTAAAGGAGTGTAAGGTGCTCAAGTATGATTGATATGTGTGAGACGCCTCTTGTATAGGTGGAGCTTACAATTTATAGGTTTTTTCAAACAGATTGAAGCGTTTTTCTCGTATCAGGTGAGGTAGTTTGATGAAGGTGTGCCTTTCTCGTAATTGGCGAGACAATTTTATAGAGGTGATGAAGTGTGCTTCCCAAGAAAATCTCTTCACATGTTAGTTGTGGACTGAATCTATCACTATAAGTCTATAACTATGAGGTGACTGACTTGACTCTTTATCAAGATGGCACAATTGAGCTGACTTAATTTCCTCTTTCTTGTGGTGGGCTNCTTCGCATGTTAGTTGTGGACTGAATCTATCACTATGAGTCTATAACTATGAGGTGACTGACTTGACTCTTTATCAAGATGGCGCAATTGAGCTGACTTAATTTCCTCTTTCCTGTGGTAGGCCTGCATTCTAAAATTAGACTTCTAAGTGGAATCTAATCTGTAATTCTGAGGGTGATCCATAATTCTAGGCGTGATTTGGGTCGAGCTCATCACATGCTGACCTAAGTTTTCAACTCATTCAAATAGGTCTACCCAATAATCACCAAATTCACTAAAATTAAATTAATTTTTTTTTCTTTGCCAAATTCCTGTCAAGTATGTAACTAGGTATAAAAAATTCAAATCCAAAAAAATTAAAAAACATGACAATATGAATAAGTAACATATATGGATGAACAATAATCCACTATCACTTTATCATGAAATATTCGGTTAATATTTAGAATTATGCTTTCTGAAGGGGGGTTGCTCTNTATGAATAAGTAACATATATGGATGAACAATAATCCACTATCACTTTATCATGAAATATTAGGTTAATATTTAGAATTATGCTTTCTAAAGGGGGGTTGCTCTCTTTATTACACGTGTTATGACATTTAATAAGCTCACGTGAGGATGACAAGACAAGGCATATAAGAGAGGCATAAGTCACTAAGTCAAACAGGCCTAGCTGAACTGGTCAATAAGTTCGGCAAGCAGAGAGAGAGCTCGGCACTTACCAAACCGTGTCGTTTAATGAGTCAGGGAGCAATGAAAGAGCTCAACCCTAGTTAAGGTGTTCGGTGTGTAACAAAAGAGCTCGGTCCTTGACTTGATCGAGCTGATTTGAAACAGTATACGGAAAGATAAAGATTTGCCAAAAACTTAGGCGTACAAGATAAGCTAATAAACTTAATTATAGGCCAAAGGAATTGTCGGAGAGATTTTAGCAGCTTTCCAAACTGAATCGCTTAATTGGAGGAAGGTGTGTCACCTTGAATTGAAATTCGTGGAAACCCTAACTGAACAGAGTCGATAAAAACCAAAAGGAGCCAAGGGTGAACGGTACGTTGAACTCTCCTTGTCTTCATGTAATTGTCTCAGTTTCATTACTAACTTAAACATCGAAGCGCCTTCGATTGAAGCACCTTCGATCGAAGCACTTCGATCTTGGGCAGTTTGTTCGTTTTGCAGGAAGCAAAGACTGAGTAATCAAGTTCAGAACTCACTCTTATCAAAAATATTCAATCTTTATTCTTGTCAGAGGTATTCTTAATTTTTATACATTACATTTTGGCACCGTCTATGGGAAAATTTTCATCACTCGAACAAAAAGCAACAATGTCAAGACTCAGAAGTGTTATCGGATCTCCTAGAGGCAATTTTGCCTCGTGAAACTCCGATCCAGTATCACTCATATCTGAGAGCAACGATAAGTTGCATGTCGTTAGAAGCCCATCTAGACTTCACGAAGATGACGATTTGTCCTCAGCAAGTTTCAAACCTTCCAAGAACCAGAACCAGCAAGTTGGGGATCATGGTAAAATCCTTCGTACAGAGGGGGAAAACCACTCCTTGGCTAAGTTGGTCCAATCCCTACAGGACCGACTTGATACGCATGATAAGTTATTCAAGAAATCCTATGCTAGGGAAAAAGACCTAATAAAAGAGAATGACGAACTCAAAGCTAGGCTGAAGGAGATGACTA